TTGGAAGTTTTGGTAATGCACCTATCTCACGTTATTCACTTTGAGTTTACTGGTAAGACCACGTACGACTAGCAGGTATAGTGGTTCAATGCACTTGTTACATGACTGTGTCTCGTTCGATTGTCAAGCAATTTTAATTAGAGGTTGCTTGAAACTATTCCATGAGTTATTATTATTTGTTGATATGTTTGTGATTCTCCGTTGTTTTACCGGGTAGAATTGTTCGACCTTATTTGGAATATGGGCTCCTATGTGGAGAACTATAAGCATATCAACAAATAATAATAACTAGTACCCGTTGCCCAAGAGGCGGCTATCGGGCCTCAGTAGCCTAGTGGATAAGGCTTTGGTGTTTGAAGCGATCGGTAAGCGGTTCAAGTCTTAGTGGAAAGAAAACCACTCACTGAGGTGCAGATACACCCAGCTGAAAAGTCTTAAATAAGACGAAACGCGCATCCTGGATTCCTCTGCTAGCCATATCTAAGTCAGTTAACATGTGCCAAGGGTTATCATTGCGTTAGTAGCTTAAATGATAGATATCTTATCTTTCACCTTAAATTATTTCTAGCAACATTTGTTTGTCATCTGGCAGAAACACATACTGCACCTGACAAGTTTAATCTAAAAGCTAATGGAAGTGAGACTCATGATTTACCTTAGATGATGAAAGTATTGGACAGTGTTTTCGGACTTTTCTTAAATAAAATCTTTCAGAACACTCCTTGAGAAGGAAGCATTTAAACTGGGTTTCTTATAACAGAAAGATGTGTAACTATTACTTTGCTGCGGCTTAATAACCTATTGAACATTACTGGTCCACTTGGCTTCTTAGTATGAACAGTACTAACCACTGTATGTCACTTCTATCCGGGAAAACTCTTGGTGTTTTAAAATGAGTACACTTGATGTCGTTTTCCTGAATTTCACTTCAAAAGATCTTATTGCAACATCATACATACACTTACACGGAATTAAGTAGCATGATGTTTCTGTTAGTAATTCAAGCGAAATTCCCAACTTAATTGGTTGATTTCAGGAAACATTCATCTGGAAGTTTCATTCCAATTGCTTTCGATGTCTATTAGAAATCGTCAACAAGACGTATCTGTTGGCTTTCTGAAACTCATAGCACGTCAGATATTTTTATTCGCACTATTCAAGGACTTAAATTAGAAGGGTATAAGTATACAGTTATGGCATGCAGTAATAAATGATGCTCAGTATGGCCACCGAGTCAGTCGTGGTTTGAATAGCTCATCGGAAAAATCTACTACCTAGGAAATGAATGACTCATGTATATATATCTCTGGAGGTTCACCGATTCTTTCAAGGTTGCAGATAAGCCCAATCTGTGAGTTCCATAAATCACGAAAACAAGGTTGACTGAGGTTTCTTATCAACTGAACCCTAATATCCAACACACTTAACGGTAACACTTCAAAGCTTGATCAGTTAGCTGTGATCGGTTATCCTCTGTTAAACAATTAATATAGCTTAGTAGGCTTCAGAGCAAAGTCTTATGTCAAAGTGGTTTTCTTACTGTAGCCATTTAGAGTCCTTTAGTATAACTGATCTGAACTTAAGTCTATGATATCTTCAATTTAAGCTGAATATTTGCACTGTAGTGTAATTATTTTGCCAAATAACTGCTTACTATTGAGTAGAATTAAGTTTACCATCTCAACCTGGTTTCGCTTGAAACTTGTCCTCACACTGCATTTTCAGTCTTTAAAATAACTTTAAATTACGAATTGGATAAACGCTTTGACAACAGTTTGTACCACAAAGAAACAAACAGATGGTAACTTATTCAGGTCATCTTAGCTGATGCAGAATACCCAATTTCGTGCAGCAGTTGATTACTGGATGCTAAGTAGAGCAACATTTTAAGCTTTCCTGTTCAGATTTTTGTGGGGACTAATTCTAACCACTGATTATTGATTGCAACTAAGGAATAAGACCAAATTCCTATTATTTATTGAACCTAATCATTGTTATTACTTATTATTATTTTTACTTTGGGTTCCTAGTAGAACGTAGGGCCTCAGCAGCACGTCGCCATTTCACTGCCTTCCCTGGAGTCTTTTGAACCTGGCTCCAAGACTGCCCACAAGGTTTCATTTCTTCCTCACACGATCTCCTCCATATCACCCTCACCTCCAACGCCCAACCCGTCGTTTCCCCTTTGGGTTCCTCTCGACGGCCTGGCCTGGGGCATGATGCCCACAAACTGTCTTCTCAGTGTATCCCTAATTCAATCTACCTACACTTCCTTGGTTGGTTCGTCCCCAGAGTTTTTTGTTGCCTATTCTTATTATTCTGGCCGTCTGTTCTTCAGTATCGCGCCAGCGTAGGCAGCTGTTGATGAATGTCTGTAGTTTGCTGAAAATCCCTTTCGTAACGCGCCAAGTTTCTGAACCATACAGGAGCACTGACTTGACATTGATGTTGAAAATCTAGGTCTTGTTCTTTATGCTGAGTTGAGTGCAGTAGATCTCCACACTGATTTCAGGTTAATGAAGGCCTTTCTTGCTGTCTTTCCGATCCTGGCTTTGACGTCTTCATCTGTGCCGCCACCTGGAGTTGAAACGATGCTGCCTAGGTAGGTAGATGAAACAGACTACTTCTTTTAGGTTTCTACCGTTGATGGTGATTGGAGCTTGTTGTTGGTGGCGTTGGTTGGGTATCTTCCTCTTCCATCCAGTACAGTGTATGCCCCTCTTCCAGCTCCTCATAGTTTGTTGCATGATCCAGTCCAGTTCAGTCGACCACAATCAGGAAGATGATCTTTGACGATAGTAGGCGGCAGCCTCGTCTTACTCCTGTCTTCACTTCAAAGGCATCGCTGAGCTTTCCACTGTGAATCACTTGGCATGTGGCGTCTTCATATAGCTGTTGAATGGGATTGATAAAGGTTTGTGGTACTCCGTAGTGTTGAAGCAGCTGCCTGCCAAATTACTTCCCGGTCGACGCTGTCAAAGGCCTTTTCAAAACCGATGATGTTGAGGTGAAGATCCAGTTGACTGGTATTCTACTCTCTGTTCTATGATGGAGCGTAGCATAGCGTTGCAATTGGATCCACACATGATTTGTTCTTCCTGAAGCCAGCCAGCCTGTTCCGGTGGTAATTTTAAATCTAGCGCATTCTTTAGTCTCTCCAGGATGATGCGGCTTAATATTTTGCTTGTGGTGGATAGGATCATGATTCCTCACCAATTCTTGCAAAGGCTTAAATCTCCCTTGCTTGTGAGTTTGACAACGTACCCCTTCCTCTAATCTGCAGGTGGCTTGCCTTCCTTCCATCGAAACCTTCTTCAGTAGTGAGGTGAGCATGTCCGTTGTTGTCTCTGCGTCTGTTTTCAGTGTTTCTGGCGGGACTCCACTTTGTCGTGTTGCTTTCCCGGATTTGATAAAGTGTTGCCTGGTCTCTGTATCTTCTACCTGCAGCCTGTTCTGGTTCACTTTCCAATGTGCCATGGAGGCGTCTTTTGTCTTTGCACGCACTCCTTTTCACTTCTTTGTCCAGTGTTTTATAGGTTGTATTCTGTTCCTCTTTTCATTGTTCATCCCTGCACTGCAATGCACTGGTTCATCTTCTGCTTCATTATGGCCATCTTCCACTCCCTGTTCTATCAGCTTCCATGTGTCCGTTGCGATCTTGCTGTCATGATCCTGATCCTGCAGAAGGAGGTTGGTTCCCACTGCACGAAAGCCTGCGATGCTGTTAGGGATATCATGATAGCCACTCCATAACTCAGTGTGCTCGTGTTTGTTGTCTGGGTGACAATATCGGAGTAGATTATTGACTCCACTCCAGTCGACAGTTTGGAGAGTCCACTTCCATTCCATCTACTTTCGCAGATTCCTAGCACTTCTGTGCAATACCTTCTTGTCTCTTTTGCAATCTGGGTAGCTTTGCTAGATTCAAACATGGTGCGGACATTCCATGTTGCCATGTTTACTTTCGCTTTCATCGAGGGAGAGAAGACACATCTGCCAATTGACTTCTCGAAGGTTTTCACCGACCGGTGTCATTTCACCTCTCCGATCCCAGGGAGGAACAAGTTTGTTTTTATTTTTTATATTTTCTTTGTGCTTTGAAGTTTCTTTAGTGACTGGATTGGTTTTCCCGGGGTAGGGTTGCTAACACTATGCCCAACCTTCCCTCTTTACCCGGGCTTAGGACCGGCTGGTTACTAGTGAACTAGTTAACTAGGCGAGGTTACTTAAATAAGAGTATCACTAGATAAATGTTCACAAACAATTAATAACTTCTGTTTTGCACATTATATTACAGTGTTTTTTTTTCTTTCTCCTGCTTGTCCCGAAATGACCCGAAATCTTACACTAAATGACGATCATATTTTACGAAAAATTGTTTAGATGACAAGTTCTTTACTTTGATAAAGCGTTGACCACTTTTTCAAACAAGAACATTATGTTATTCAGAAGACCAGTTGACTTTGATTTGTTTAACTTTTTAATCGGTTTATTTTGTTTGTTTGCATGTGTGTGGGTGTGCACACCTGTACGTATATTGTCCGTTAAGCAATTGTTACCCGCCTTTGAAGAATATCCTAAGTATGATGTCTGACTTGTTCATTTATGCGATCTACTGAAATAAAAATACAAAAGTTTCATGTTCACATTCTTATAAATATTTCATGCTTCTCAAGTATTCTTTCTATCTTATTCTGTGAGGAAGGCGCATTCTAGAAATACTGTCATAACATTCACAGTTTGATTGAGTGCCTTACAAAATGGGATACCAACCAACTGCCACCAGAAATACACACTTACGCAAGCGTACACAGAGACAGATATACATTCATATCATCATCTTGTATTGCACCCAATGGTAAGTTGATGTGAAATCCAATAATTGGTTAAACTTATAGCCCTATTGATTTTTATCAAATAAGCGTAATGAGTGCGCCTATGTGATAGATTCTGTGTTGGATAAGAACATGGTATATAAACGTATGTACGTACAATGTAGTACACACCAACGCCTACGTTTTTCAGTCCCCCTTGTGACTTCTTTCCTTCTACCAGCTATTCAACTAATCTAGGATTGCAAACCATCCTAATCCCAATAATAAATGAAGGGAGAAGAACATTTTGTGCCTACTTGTTTGTCCACTGGTTAGTTAAGTTGTGCGTATATGTATATTTATATTACTGAAAGAAACAGGAACAAAATAAATGCATTCTTTCATAAAAATATCCTCTGTATTGTGATCATCATCAGTATTATCAACACTATCAGCAGCAGTAAAAACGGCATTAGGACAATAGAAACCAAAAATAACATACTTTGCTTTCGTGTTGTTGGTGCCATTGCGGTTGATCAAAACTCATAAGGTTGCTCACAACCACATTTTTATTAGTCACTTGATTAAATTAACCAGCTAAACCGAAATTTTATCATTATATATCAGTTGTACTGTTTAGTCAACGAGTTTAGCATTCTGCCGAAAGGTGGTTATTATCTGAAATAAATCACTGATCATCAAAGCAATCACAAGAAGAAAAGAACAGTAACAACACCCACCTTATTTAAGTGTCACTCATTTCATTCAAAGTATGGAGACAGCATTCTCTAAGACAGTCGATGAAGTTTTGAAATACTTCGACTCCGACGCAGAAACTGGTCTCAGCGATGATCAGATTAAGAAACAAACTACAAAATTCGGTCCTAATGGTAAGCTACTGTTGTCTCACTTTTTTGTCTTTTTAAAAATAATTGTAAATAGCCATTATTTTGAACTGTGTTTGCTTAGTGAAAACACTATGTAGGTACCACAATTCATCTGTGTATATAACTTTTCTAAATTTCATTCGATTTATGGTGTGGTAAATCTGTCGAATATTTTGTCAAGGAACAACTTCATTTTATGTTTATTATTAGCTGCACGGAAAGTATCTTTAATATCTGTTTTTTAAAGTAAGAAACTGGTAGAACTAATGATATTTGTACTAGCTGCAAAAGAATTATTGGATCTTTAAAGGCATAGATCACGTTCAGTAATTTGCACTACAATGCAGAAAATCACAGCAGATGTTTCGCTTATAGTTATCTGAGTGCATGCAGTATCCATAGGTATGAGTTAATGGTAGCATTCAATACATGTTCTTAATAAGTCTGTACCTGAAAGTGTTCAGGTAAACGTCACGAACATTTCAGGATCTAGTCATTACCAACTAGCCAACTTATTTATCCCTAAACTTAATTGTATACGAAAGAATAAAATATCGATTGCATACTTTATTTTTATTGTTGCTTTATAAACAAACATTCAAGCCAAAAAGAGGCTGCTGTCTTCCAGAAGGATCATCCTTGTCGATAACTGCCAGACAGTTTGAAACAATCTCTAGTTAATTACTGAATATTTTTAATAACCTACTACAGCGCTTAAAACTGCACTATGGCTTGGCAAACTTGTTAGAAACCAATTAATACATCAGCGGAAGTTCTAGAATGCTTTTCCTCAAAATAATGATCAACACTTCGACTCTTTTGGAAACTGTGTTGTCCAGAATAATAATGAAAACCTTTTTATGGTGGTAACACGGTATCAGCTACTAGGAGATTATGAAGGTTTTACACAAGAGCATTTTTTGACCAGTTTCTTACAAGTCACAACTGAAGGTAGTATTACTCTAGAGACTACATGAGAGCTATTCACAGGGTAGTTCAAAAGAGATGATAAATTGATGAACTGATGATGAATGTAGTTCATTAGCATTGCCTTGTTACTTTGTACAGTTTCTCGTCTTAAGTTTATAAGATAACCCCCTTGCTGCTTATCACACCAAAAGATTTCATGAGTTTTATTCAGAAGTTGACTTATATTAAACTCCGTTAGACTTTTTTTGCACACTTAGTAAATCATTTTTAAGAATGAACAGGATTTTGAAAGGTACTAGACACTCTTTTATGGTGAAAGTTCCCTTGTGCTTATTTCATACTAACGATATTTTTTAAGGAGAAAATATAGAAGAAATGTAGGTAGTCAAAGACTGCAAGATTTTAATCTATTTTTAAATTGATGAAGTATATTCCATCTGTTTAATGTCTAACTGTAACACCAAAAGATTTAGCTTGCTGAGGTGCTTCGCTACTTGGAGGTTAGACCAATGATCCAGACCTTCTTTTCTTTTGATAACCACCAGAAGGGAGACGAAAACTAGCGAATGTCAGTGGAGTATTTTTGTCCATCATGAAGTAGAATTTACTTTTGTTTCTGTTATGAATAATGTCACGGATGTTTAATGAACACTGGGAGAGTTCAGTAACAACGATCACGTAATCAGCATCGTCAAGTAGTGACATTTTAGTGGAAAAGCCATGCAGATGATTCAATATTTTGTATAAATCCAGGTAAAATTAATTTGAAATGAGGACATGATCAAACACTTGAGTTTAATGCCTAGGTAGGGCGTGTTCTCTTGTTATTTCACAAAAGAAGGTTTATAACTTTAAACTGACGAGTAACTATCCTTCTAGTTGATTACGATTACCATTAGGTCGTTGGTGAATGTGGACTTTGTTAATGACTCCAGCAGATTGCATTGAATTTCCGAAGAACCTGAAAATAAATTTGACATTTAAATTGTCTTTTCTTATAAGATCATCAAGTCGTTTTAGTGATGAGTGATCATTTTATAAAGTCAGTGTTAATTTTCAACTGATTCACACTTTTCTTCTCATTTTTTTTGTAGAACTTCCTGCTGAAGAGGGTGAGTCAACTAATTTAGTGGAAATATGCTTTATGCAATTTCGTAGACTTAACATTTCCTATATCTGAAGGTCACCCTATGGTTGTGCGGTGATTCAGAGGTTTTCAGTTTAAGATGATAAGTATCGCTGGACCGTGTATGCTTCCTACTTCAGTAATTAAAAATTCATGTTGACTTATAAAATATTGAGAAAATCAATAAAATTCAAGAATACACTAGGGAAGAGAGCATGTTTCATCAACGAGTTATGTCCACTGTCCGTAATTTAAGTGGAACATTTTGCTTCTAACTTATTCAGCTACATAATGGAGAGGGCAGTTAACATTTAGTTTGGGCGTAGGCTAATGTACGCTTCCTTAATTTGACAACTACCTATCAAAATTTGACTGTTCAAAACATTAAGAGATAATCGGAGTGATAAATCCGTTATACAGGTTATAAATTACTGGGCCTTTTTTGTAATTTCATATGAGTAGGTCAAACTTTTTCTATACATCACTTCATTTATCAACGATATCGAGATCGTCCTCACATTCGAAGTACTGGCCAGAACATTTTTACGGTCCAAAAGTGTTGTGAAACAGTAATTCATGCCTTTCGGTAATGCTTGACTGGATACAAATAACTGAAAATTCTGAAGCTTTAGTTTTGTCTTGACGATTACTAAGTAGCGCCAAAATCCTGAATAAGAGTTAATCTCATCAGTGGGATTCAAATTGCTAAAACACATTTGCATTCAGTCGATTTCCCATGAAATTTTTCTATTCCATTCTTAAACCCTTCAGAAAGGAAATTCTGTGGAATGGACAACTTTTAGATTCTAGAACACTTCAAAGTTCAACACCTTAAGGTGAAGCAATAGCAACTGGTATAATGATATTGTAAACTGAAATTCCATTCACTTTATTTCAGGCGATGAAATGCAATGTTTTAACACTTTCTTTTAGCTAAGGCAATCTGGCAACTTGTTCTTGAACAATTTGATGATTTACTGGTGAAAATCTTGTTACTGGCTGCGATCATTTCATTCGTAAGTATATATATCAGGATGCTTGTTTGCTTGTTACATCATTGAGATTTTTTTTGTGAACAGTTTTGTAGATTGAAATGATTCTTATTGAACAATAAGAAGTTGTGACAAAATAATGATTGGACTTTCAAGTAAGAAACTTCACTGCTAACTTGGTGATTGAAGAGATACTGACATTGGGTTGGCAGTTAGTCTCATAAACTAGTCCGAGAGTCCTGGATGGACGAACGTCAGGGGTTCTTATCCAAGCGTGAATTATATTTTCTTTCACCTTCACTTATCATTCTGTTGAGTCGTTATGGTTTTTCACGTCAACACCTTCCTAGATTTACTCTTCAGAAGATACCTGATACATATTTAGCTCAGGTGGATGACCTTGGTTGTTTTGCGTTCTTTTAGGTAGGAGGCCTAGTCGTGTTAACTATATAGACCAAGACTAAACCACCCAAATCAGAGGATGCAGCACAATAAAAATGATTGATAGATACTTCAGCATTCACACGTCGAAAAGAGTCAAGGCTCTAGTGTTGATAGGGTTTGAACCTACTACCTGGTTATTCTAACATGTCTAAAGTTGATTGACTGGTCACAGAGACTGAGTAATTTTTCGAAATATTTTCCTTATTTGGTTCTCAGAATGCCTAAAAAATACCTTGATTGATCTGATGAGTGAAACTAATCAACAGTAAATTACCCGTTAATCTACAATGGTGGTAATGTCTTGGTTCATGAATAAGTTAATGTGAGTTTTGGCTGTTACTATTCACCAAGTAAAGTGTAACATAGGTCTATCCTTGTAAATTGTATCCTAAAGCAAACAATCACTCTTTGTTCAGGTTGGAGTCCCGTGTTAACTCTTTCCCTTAAAAATTGTCGAGTATCTATCTTCTTAGGTCATTAATTGCGGAAATGTATTAGCATTGACACTAGTCACCTTAATTTTAGCCGATGTAGCTCTCAGGTCCATTTTCCGAGTACCAACCAAGGTCTATTGACTGAGTTAACGACATAACCAGTAAGCTGGATAACGCGATCAGTTAATATAGTGTATCTTAACTTAGTTTTAAATTTAAAGAGTCAGTCTGTGGGAAACCCTGCCTAACATATATTTCATACCTATTCAGACTCATTTGCAGGTCATGCTGACAACCACGACAGAACTCATGTTTCTTCTACGATTAAAACCTATATCAATCAATTTAAGATCAGAGACTTAACTTATAAACTTTTCAGGTCTCCAGTAACCATATGTACAATTAGACCATATGTACGAACAAGTCACTAGAGACTTTGTTTGATATATGTGACGGCTGCTAAGTGATGCATTCAGATCATAGTTTATATATCATTGGTTTTGATGGCCTTAGTACCACTATTACTCAGTAGGAATGCTGGTTTTCCTTACAAAATTATGTAATTTAAGCTTTTCAAGACAGGAATAATAACTGGCTAACTACCTGGTTGACTGAGAAGCATTGATCTGAATCCCGATCTGCTTATAAGAGTAATAGAAGTCAGTCCAAACTAGGAATTTTTATGCAATTATCAAAGTTGGTTTTAAAATGTATAATAATGATAATATTGTATGCATAGTACATATAAACCGAATGTTTAGCGCATTTTCTCAATGATAATGAGTTTCAGTAATTATTATTCAAATTGATCTCTTAGAACCAAAATTTTAGGATAAGTTGACTGAAGCAAGTTTATCTTAATAGATTTATGACGCCTGATGGTCAAAACCACCTAACTTATTAATGATGTCTAGTGCCTAGCAATGAAATCCAGGGAGCGTGTCCTGGATTTATTTGCGTCCAACCAACAACGGAGACTTAATATCGGAACCCCTAGATTTATTCCTACTGTTTACTAGGCATTACGTCAAGCAAACCGAATGATAATCAGCATAAACTCATCTGGTCAACAGGGTGGATTTTACTGGTGAAACCTGATTACAGCCATCCAGTGGAGATATTTGTGTCGCGGAGAACAGGTTTAATCAGTTCGTCAGATGTGTGATATACCACATTCCTGAAGAAAAAATAATTTGGAAGTCAAATTGTTACATCCGCTAACTAGATACCTTATATGCTTTCCAGTCATAGAACTCCTCTTTTACTATGAAGGCAACACTCATCATGATGACTTTCATACGATTTTACTGATGTGAGAAATGAGACTAAAGTGCGTTGACAAGATGATAGCGAATATGAGTTTCAGCTGATGCAGAAAGAATTTTAGTAGACAGTATAAGGTAGCTTTGGTTATCAGAAATTATATTTTCTCTGAAAATATAGGGTAGAACCGAAGGAAAAATTAGAAGCAGATATAAACCATACATAAATCTAAGAAAATAAAGTCACTAGATCGCTCTATGTTAATTGGATACTCCTACTAATTTGGGTACGTGGTTGATGAGACCTGTTCCTATGGCAATACTTTTCAGTTAGCAACGCAACAAATGGTATTAGATACAATACATATTTCGAGTTTTAAAATAACTTTAGATTGAAGCAAGCTTTGCGTGAATCCAGATGGAAAAATTATGGACGAAGGATAACTGATCACTGACGTGAGTTGCCTTACACCATTCCTTTCAACCTATGACATATAACCCTGAAAACTACTCTCTGAAGACATGTATGTTCAGTGACTTAAGGTTGACGCTGAAATAGATAAAACTGAGCTCAAAATAAAATTGCCCATCCGGTTAACCAACTCCACAGAAGTGTGATTATTTATTAGCAAATTTATATAAGTTTTGATCCTGGACTAAATTTTCCCATAGTATTTCTCCTTCTATCAGAACAACACAGGTTATTGTGATGTAAGTTGACTATATCGTTTTATCTTGTTGGCAGATTTTTCAGCTGAAGCCAAGAGTTCAGTGGATACTCATCTTGGCTCTAAGAACCAAGAAGTTGATTAGCTAACATTTGAATCGTTCATTTCTTTTATTAGCTTGTTGTCTTGCTATGGTTATTATGTCCTACTTTTCACACATTTTCTAGGTACTTGCTCTATTTGAAGAGAGTGAAGAAAGTATCAGTGCATTTGTCGAACCACTAGTTATCTTGTTGATCCTGGTTGCTAATGCGGTGATTGGTGTCTGGCAAGTGAGTATTTGCATGATTTGTTTTTAACTGTGCAACAGTATTACAGCTCGCATTTTTATTATAATTATTATTGGTATTAGAAGCATTAGTAATAGTAGTAGTATTGCCTTAAGTAAAGTATAATTCAAGATTTGGTATAAATCAGAAAACTATTCAAAGTTAAGAAACACCAACAAGTTAGTTGACTGGGTATCTAATTACACAATCCTAGAATCAAATGAAGGATCGTTAGTTTTGGCACCATCCTTGTACCAAATCACTTCCAAATTGTTCAAACTACTATTACCATTCGATTTATTAGTGATGATTACGGCATACCAATAGTTTAATAAGACTACTAAGTGGTCATGAGTACCTAGTTACCAAGTGTTCTAGGAGACTTGTGTCTTCCTTACAGCATGAAATAAGATGACTGAGGACGAGAGAACACATGGTTTGGTATAGGTTGTACAGCATCTCTGCTAAGATTCTTGATGTAATTGTTACCTAATAGCAAAATTATCAGTTGTGCCCTTAATGTTTTGATTTCTAACAGTTACCGAAGTGAAATTTTCCTATTGAATTGTCCTACAAGTGACTTAACCACTTGCTTTAGCCAGGTGTACTGTCAATTGTCTGAAGTGTTCAGTCAGTATTCAAGAGATTAGAAAAGCTCAACAATGTATGTTGAGTCGGTTCAATCTTGACAGGTCCAGTAAGGGAAATACTACAAGGAGTGACAAATATTATTCCAACTACCCATGAATTGCTTGTATGTTAAAGTTTGTCAACTTCCTTAAAATGTTTTTCAACTCATCATTAACGTGTTGCTTAGACTTTTGACTACCTATCATGTTAACTGGATAGACAGAATCAGTTTATAATGTATACATATATACGTCTCTATCCTAAGATATCAAAGTATGCACTGTAAATAGAGTATATGCTGTATGCAGAATAGGCCTGGCAGTTAACTTAGCCGATGATCATACTTCTCATACTTAACTTTTAGTATATCACTATGAGCAGGATGATAGCTTGCTAGGTGTTCATTGATTTCATGACTGTGGTTACTTCGGTAATATTCATCAGTAGTTCATAAAGTGTAACTACAGCAACCAGAATGTTACTAAAGTGGCTAGGCTTTAACTAGATGCCTTGAATGGCATACAAAGCGTTCATGTTTCTGAAGTATTACTGAAATCAGTTCAATTCATTTCACGTTTTCATTCATGTGGTTAAGAATTACTCCAAAACCTTTTATAAGATTTCACGAAATTCATACTACTCATTCGTTCAAATACAGATTTGTGACTGAGGAGACTGAAAGCTAGAAATGCACATCCCACCATAATTTGAGTACACTTTTCTTCAGGTCCAACCTACAAAACACTGTGGTAAACACAATGATTTAAATGCATTTTATTTGTCAGTGACTAGAATCTCCTAGAGAAGCATCAAAAAGTACAGCTAAATCATTGTAATTTGTATCTTCACATCAATGAGCGCTGTCGATCACGTCAGAGGCCGACTACAGAACACTACTGTTTCTCACACAGTATGTCAGCATTTGACCACTGCTTGGGAAGTCAATTTTTGTTCGGTATTTTCCAGCTTCATTCAGTTTTCTGAATAAAACTTCTGATATGCCACATTATCTGTTACATCTCAGCCATCTAAAACAAAAAGTCAGAAAGATAAATGCCTCGTTTTCTATATAATCCTAACTTATATCTATGTCTAAGGAAGGTTACTTCGAAGAAGACATCAATCCTATCCTTGTACAAAGAATGGGGAACAGTTTTGAGATGGAAATTTATTTAAAAACAGCAGCGGCCAGCTAACGGTAACTTAGTTTATCTTAGATCGAAGATATTCAGCAAGTTTGGCTCCACTAGTTTGAGCAGCTAGCATGAGAATCTGATAGAAGGATTAGCAGAAGAAAGTGAGTAAACAGCTCAGTAGAACATACAATGCATCTATTTTTGGCAACAAAAGCAATAAAAGATTGATAGTATATTAACTGAAGGACAGGTTTGTCTAGAAATCTTTATCAGAAATAGTTAAAGTAGGGTTTTGAAATGTGCTGCAAAATTCTAATAATAACCATAGTTATGTAATTGTTTCATTCCAAACCATAAGTTTGGTTACAATACAGAATTCGCACATAGAATATTGCATAAATTTACTCGTTGTGCAACACTTTTCACATATATATATATATATATATATATATATATATATATATATAAACAATGGTGCTGTTTAGCAATACATGATAAAGAATAACATGATTGCTGAAACGTTTAATGACTTCAGGGACATGATAACTGTCGGCTATTACAAAACCGATTGATAAGACTATGCTTAATGTGATTTTCTTCACACAGTACTCAAGCTAAATAAAGTGGTACAGTTGAATTTTTGTACATAATTATGCCTGTATAAAGTTTAATATGTTGGCTTCTTGTTTTCCTTGAGGACAGACAGAAAGAGATGGAGATACAGGGGAAACCTGCCATTAGATTAAGTATGTTTAGCCAGATGTCTACGAGAGTTCATATGCCTATCCACAACCGCGTTTATCAGCATGGTTAGTGGTGTGCCAATTGCTTTACTAACAGCCTTTGAAATCCTATGCAATGCAGCGTAGTCTTTTTTCCTGAGTCCAGGGAAGGATAAAGCAGAAAAATAAGTAAGTATAGGCAAAACCTAGAAATTAGCAGAAGGTAAGAGTAGAGGCTGAGTTATGCGAGATAGTCTGAGTTTCCTTACATAAAATGTCAGGCCAAGGATTTTCCTGGGAATCACTAAGATATGAAGGGACTAAACAAGATCAAGAGAAAAACATGAGCGAAGATGGATCACGCTTGATACATTTTCTACAGTAGGGCCATCTATAAGACAAGGGTCATGGAACTGAAGCAATTTACATAGGTCTCATATGAATTTCTGTCTGTTTTTAAAGAAAAAACTCCTACATTTCCACCGAATTCCACTGAAAAGCAACTACCCAAATGTTGAGTGTCTCTGTAAATCTACAAAGTCATTTCTTAGCTCTCTCTTGCTTACAGACTCATAACTAGTAGAATAGGTGATGATTTTCCCTTCTTCTTCCTTGTCATAACTAGGAGCGTAACGCTGAATCGGCTATCGAAGCACTGAAAGAGTATGAACCGGAGATAGCCAAAGTTTTTCGAAAAAGTCATTTTGGTATTCAACGAATTAAAGCCAGGGAACTGGTACCTGGTGATATTGTTGAAGTATCAGGTAGGTGGCTCTTGAAAGAATTGTGATAATTAGTTTACTTTTCTGTTTCTTTATTTGTTTCCAATGCTTGGTCATTTCGACTCAAATTTATTGAAAATTACTGAAAGACAATTCAGCAAAGAAAATTTTCTTTACGACCAATCATTTAAAAAGTTGTACACCTTAATCGTAGTTAAAACCATATATATATATATATATATATATATATATATATATATATATATATATATATATATATATCCACCAATGACTAGTGGGTAATTACAAGGTCATCAGAACGGTCAATAGGGTCACAAGGTGATAATGGACTTAAGGTCAAATCAAGGTCATCAAAGAAATGAATATACTGTCTTAGGAAGATTATGACCACGGCAAAATTAGAGACTGACAGTGTCTTTTTTGAGTGAGAACTTATTTATCACTTATTACGGAATGTCTTTTCCAAAAATAGATTTATTACAATATCAGTCAGTGGCAAACTTCTGTTTAAGTTTATGGTATTCTACAACTTAATAAACTTCAATGCCAGATCAAGTAAGCTTACTCTATCCACAGTGCATTAAGTGAGGACTGATCCAAGTATTCTGTGTAAGCGATCCAGATTCTCATATTCCAGAAGTTATGCTGTCGAAAATGAAATTAACTCGCAAAACTTGTTGGCTTCTTTAACAGGCTACTACTTTGCATCAGCTCAGATGGAATGCGTATTGAACACTGATTTCACAAACTATGAAGTATGTAAAAATCTGAAGCTTATAAAGAAAAGTGATTTCTGAAATTCAACCTATTTTTAGTCTAATGTAACAAACTACTGACATTCATCAACAGCTGCCGCCTACGCTCTATACTGAAGATCAGGTGGCCAGAAAGAATAAGCAACAAGGAACTCTGGCTTGGCGACGTACCAACCAAGAACCTATCACCCAACAAATATGCACTGGAAGGAAGTGGAGATGGATTGGGCATACACTGAGAAGGTCGACTGGGGACATCATGCGCCAGGCCAGATACTCGAGTGGAACACAATGGAGAAATGACGTGTTGGGTGTCCAAGGCAAGGGTAACATAAAGGAGATGGTGTGAGGAAGAAATGAGAGCTTGTGGGCAGTCGTGGCGCCAGGTTGAAAAGACTGCAGAGTTGAGAGTGCAATGGAGGTGCACTACTGAAGCCCTATGTTCCACTAGGAACCCAAGGGAAAAATAATGATAATAATAATTAGTCTAATGACCTAAAAAGCATTCTACCTCATAAGAGGTAATGTATAAATAAGAAAGTGCTGTAAGAAGCAATGATTTGCGTACTTTTGTTTTATATCAATCTTATTATTAATATAACCTGAGACACTTAGTTATTCTAATTACTGTTGTTTAATAATGGTTAGCAGGAGAATTTAGGACACACATATTTCTACCCGCTTGGTATCTTCAGCTGAGCGCAATACTTCTCATAAATTTGTAATCAAGATGACTATCCTAACTAATTCTTTTAGTGAATAAAATCCAGGTATTTGTAGCGCTTAGTGCTGAGTGAGGTCTTCAGTACAAATATTAAGTCCCACTGGAATGAAGTTATTTCCAAGTGAGACTGGATTCCTCAGTGAAAGAAACTTAAATCATGGGTTTCATTGATAATTGCTACCAAACCCATTCAGGTTAAAACCAACATTCGTGCACGGTGTTGCTTAAAAACCATAGCGAATTATTTCAACCCAGTAGGTCAACAAAAATGACACAAGAAGCTTGGATGTCCGTTTTTACTCCATTCATCTCGCAGACTATACTAAACAAGACTTTCCAAAGTTAAGTGGTACTGTAAAGATCAGTGCAGAAGTGGATAGACATTTGTCTGCAATAAATGCCGTTACGCCCAACACTACTGGGAATGCTTACGCAATATTGTTATGTTTGGCAAATCATCCACCTAATACAAACATACTAAAACACTACTTACGGCAGTGGTACTATTTGGATTTCTGTATAGAAGGCAGAAATGACAAGAATTCAGTATCTGATTAGCTGAACACAGTCAGTAACTCAGACTATTCACGACAGTGGAGTTCGAAGACTGAAGGACTCGTGAAATAAAAAAGAACAAATCTTCACTCTACAGAAACTAAAAATACTTCATAATGTTAGCCAATGAGATTACGCACAGCTACTGAGAAGTAAACTTCTTATCATTAACTTCAGGGATTCTAGGTTTTATGCTAGTCATGATCCTCGATGAATACTGTTGACTGGCTCATTTAAATATCCAGCTGGAAAGAAAACAATTTTTGGATTATTTAAACTGTTATGTCTTTTTCCAGTTCACTGAGTCGGTATGCCTAATTCTCCTGTTTCTTGTTTGTCTTCTTGCGCGGTGACAAACGTGGTTAAGCTGTGCATATCTTCCCCTGAAATCAATACTCGTCAATCAGTTTACATTAAAGAAAAACCAGGAGTAGAAATTACACTTGCCGAAATATATCGCTATCTTAGAGTTTAAATATGCGTTAAAAACATGATTAACTTGTGACCGAATGAGACTGATTTACTCATAGACCAGGATGAATACCGCATCGACTGATTTTTATTCTCATTCACAATAACACGTAAGTTGCAAAAATTGTCAAATGGAAGGGAACATAAGAAAGAAGACAAACTCCATCAATCAGTAGGCTATTTATCACGCAGTCTTTAGAACAATGGCTTTTGTGCTTTGTTGATTCCTGAAGGCTTTAACCTTCCAGCACTAAACATATCAAATTAAGTGTGAATGGGCTTGGCAGAATTATAAATATCTGTTCCACCAAAAAAAAGGCTCCAAAGAAAGACATTTAAGCAAATTTTACATAGTAGTATTATACACAGTATTTACACAATAATGTTGCTCATGAAGTCAATAGTTTTATACTGTTCAGTAGTATGATTGGTCTTTCTTTCCGGACTTATCATGTCTCTCTGTAAACAAGGTAACTGATCCAATACTAGATTTTAATCAACTATCTAAGTACATAAAATATGGTGGAGAAAATTAAGAGCTGTAATGGATGGTCTTTCCTTCCAAGAAAATTTCACGATTAAACCACCCAGCTCAGAGAATGTAACATAACCGAGTACATAACATATATTTTACAAAGTAAAACTAGAGAAAGGTTCATGATTGTGTTTAGTAAGTCAGTTCCAGAGTCAGAAACCCGAGTGTTCCGTTATGTGTATATTCACTCGAACTCTGTGTTAAGCAAACTTTATTTTGCAGAATAAGAATCACCTGTAGAATACTTGATTTCAGTTGCCCTTAGGTTACAAGATTAACTTTTAATCCTGTTTAGAATTTGTCGTCTGTTTATCCTAGTACCCGTGTTTTTCGTTCACTGATATAACTACCATCATTTCTGATGGTAAGTCACTGATTTAGAGTAGATTTTCTTGAGCTTTAGACCTTCTCATTGTCTGTTAACCTGACCCATCATCATCATATAATATTTTTTTAATTTGGGTTAATTATAGTCGGAGACAAAGTGCCTGCAGATCTGAGAATAATCAAGATCATGAGTACAACTTTAAGAGTGGATCAGTCAATTCTGACTGGTGAATCAGTATCCGTCATCAAGTTCACAGACGCTGTACCAGATCCAAGAGCTGTTAATCAAGATAAAAAGAATATCCTATTCAGTGGAACTAATATTGCCTCTGGTAAGGCTAAAGGTATTGTTGTCTGCACTGGTCTTATGACTGAAATCGGTAAGATTCGCAATCAAATGATGGATACTGAACAAGACAAGACACCATTACAACAAAAACTGGATGAATTTGGACAACAGTTATCAAAAGTGAGCTATTTTCGATTGCTTTCTTCCACTCAAAAGGCAAACCATGTATATCTTTGACTATTTTGTTGATACTGATATTCGAACGGACAGTCATGCCTATCAGTGATGCTGTTGAAGATCACTCACGACTGATGGCAGACTGCAACTGGACTCGACCCAGCATACTTTAGGTTTTCAGTCTGGTTCAACACCAGAAGAACCTTGAAACTGGTTGATGATCATATTTTGATTCTGCCTCGTATAACAAATACTCTGTCGAACAGATGTCATTCAGTTTGAAGTATAATCGAATCAAATTTGCAGAGTATCTGACTAAATCACTACGATATCATGGCAGTCATTCAATTAAGCTAAGCTTCCTTAACACCTCCAAACATCATCTAATCTGAAGAAACTCCGATAACAGACAATTCCTCTCCCTTAGCTCAGTTTCTAAAAGATAAACTAGCATGGGTAGCCAGAACTACTCGTTATCAGTCATAAAAACTACAAAAGAGGTAGAGATTATGAAGTTATTCTATGGCCATGAGAGCACTGTGAAGCAGAATCCATATTCAAGAGTACTTCAAAACAGCCTGATCATAATGATTCCTGACGAGGTCGTTAAAATTGAAGCGGTGATCTTCATAGTCAGGCTTCTACTAAGGAGTTATTTAGATTATTAGATTCTATCCCTAAGGCTTCCATGCCGTCATAATGTGGCCTAGCGAATGAGAAGAAAATGAAGATGTGACTGTATAGATTTATGACAGACACCAGGTTCCGGTTTACCATGAACTTTCTGCTCACTAATTAGGATCCTTTCTCCCCTACTTGCAGCACATTAGAGATTAAACAATTTTTCTACCAGTCAATTTCAAACGATTTGTATTCCCTGTGTAATTAGAAAGACCAGCTAGTTTCTATTTCTAAGCTAAAATGGCATCGGTTTGGTCATCACCCTGAAGGAACCTCATCACAATATCCAGTCATAAGGGGATTTATTCACACTGAAAGGACTTTTATCAAAAGTGTAAACCAACTTTAGAAGTGAATTAAAGGAAGGCATAATAAGCAGTTTTGTCTACACATGACATTATGCATCAGCTAATCCTTTTATTTACTTTCTTAATTCGATTGGTAAATTAGAATTAGAGTGAGTGACATGGAACACTGTCTCAGATTAGTTGAGATGGCCTTAGTTCGGTGAGTTGATCCTAAATACTATTAATAGTAATCTGAAGGCTGCAGGTTCGAATCTCGCCATAGTCAAAGCCTTCTTTCAATCGCAATCATTATCCCCCAAGAATCAATGCACACTACAGAAACTAAACTTGAATACTGCGATGAGAACGGTATTTGCGGGCTACGATTAGATCACTTTTGATGGTGTTGTGTTCTCTGAGCTGGATTGTTTAATGGTGAAACTTTCGTTTTCTTGCTAGACAACATTAGCAAAAACTTCAGAAAGTTTGTACTGATGATGTTGTCTAGCATGAAAACGAAAGCTCCACCATTGAACAGTCCAGCTCAGAGGACACAACACCATCAAAATTATCCTCCTGAGCTATAAATATTTTCCATCATCTGATACCATTTTGTTTCGCAGGATTTTCATCAGCTACGTAGGACATAACTGAATAGGTGTTTAGCATGCAAATGTACGCATACATAAAAGATCTTGTGATACCAGACCAAATTTTGGAGGAGAATAACGAGGAATGACTTTAATGACCACCCTAGCAAAGAATTAAGTAACCAGTTTGATTTCTCTACTTCGTGAAAAAGTTACTTTTCTAGTCGAAATAGAAAAATCTAACTGATTATTTCAACAGTTCCCAGGGTCATCCAAAGTGAGAAACAGCATAATAAGTGTTTCATGCTTTTATGAAGTGCGATAATATCCCTGAGATTTCTCAAAGAAACCCAGAATTTCCTGGAAAGCCTTCAAAACTAATCATGGCACGCCGAACGTTCGCGAAAAGCCATGTGATCATACATGTAAGTTTTAAATTGACTAAATGACTTCCTAGAAAAGTGTAGAATGGACCAGGACCATTGGGAAATGTTTATAAACAATTACTTTTTGTACATGTTCGTTTTAACAACAAACTTTTGTTGTTTTTGCAGTTTACTTCCTGTTTTCGAGAAACCGAGCGAGCCACAATGGTGAAGCCTAAGATTATTGTTCAAGAAACCACTCTTATTTATAGCCTTATAGGTCTACCAAAAAGATGTATCACATACAAAATAACTCAACCAAAGTGGTCATACACCTATGAATGTTCTGGACTAGATGAGGGAAACTCAGGTATCATACGAAGCGGATGCACGATTATATGAAAAGCTATATAAACAAATTCGGTTAATCAGTAAGATAAGTCAAGTATAATAGCAATGCGGTTAGTGAAACGGAAAGAATCGAATTAGTGATAAACAGTAGTGTGAGGATGAATAAGGTTAAAGAGGAGAGAAAATCACATTTTGAAAGAGTCTGAAAGAAGTATTGAGAAGGTGACTTTTATTTTCTTTTGAACTCACAAGCTGTCTCATTTGCTTCATGATTATGGTTCCTGCGAGTACCAACGAACTTAATATCTGTCTATTGCCAATTTTCAAGGTTTCTAAAGTGCTTACTTGATGTTCTGTATCCATTATGTGGTGAGCTATTGCACTGGTAAAAGAATCATCAACCCTAAATATTGAATTCCACGGTACATGATCGAGAATCCCGGTAAATAACCATCTTTCTGTTTGTTTGATATACCTGCTTCTATACTTACAAGTAAACTGATAAACTTGGTGGGTGATACAATGAGTCAACATTTCATCCACTTTTGATTGATTCATTGAGCATTTTGGAAGATAAAGTGGTACTAACCTTTCAGCTGAGTAAGTAAGAGATATGGCATTTCCCGTCTGCCTGTTTATTATTTCCTTTATGTTGCCATCCTTGAAACTTGATTTCAAGAAAATCTTTTTTTCCTACGTAGCTTCGTTAGTGCAACAACTTCATATGGATTTAAGAGGGTACTCTTTTTCCTGCAGATATCGCCTAATCAGCTTCTCTTATGTTTAAAGCCTTTGTTTGAAGCATATTCCATCTGCATTTTATCCCTTGCAGTTGACTGTGGAGAACGGTTAAAGTTTGAACCGCTTCAAGTAGTTTTCCGACGAATATTCCCCAAATTACCACCCTTTCTCTTTCCCTTCTGTACAAAGCTCAGTTAGTTTTCTCCTTCATACGTCATGTGTAAACCTGATATTATGAAATATATTTAATATTCGTCAAATTCTATCGCAAATCGTAATGATACCATCGATGTAACTCATATACAAAGTAAATTTATCAACCACTGGTTACACAGTACATCTTCCCAGACATCTCAGTTAGTGCCGAACCCAGACGACTTCCCACAGCTAAGCCATAGAGTTATCCACATAGATCACTGTCACACAGGAACCAAATATCTTTGGTGAATAGAAACAAAAGAAGTCCAAGTTCATTTTTTCGTAGTGCAATATATTCTCCGTGTTGACTTTAACCACAGTGAAAAAAATTGTCCTCTCGGAGGATTTGGTTTAGGTCTGTTGAACTTTGATTGATTACTCCTTTACAAAACAAAGTGTTATGTCTTTTCTTCGACAAAAGCTCAAGACAAATCAACTCTTAGAATGACATTTCTCTGAAAGGTTAGTGAAAACTTAACCGGTTTCAGAGTAGCCGTTATCATGGGATGACACCAGATTCAGAGCTGTAGGAAACCTTGAGGGTTCGGACATCTGTACTGTACTAGTTTATGGCTGTTCATCAGTAATTTTCCGCAAACCCGTCAGATATCAAGCCCAATCAAATTAACTCTTTAGGCGAAAACATTACCATCATTCAGTTATCAGGTTAATTTGAATGATCTTCCAACTGATGTTAAACTTGTATTTAATGATTCAACAATTAACATCTAATGCGCTACATCTGTCAATTTTGTTTATATCACTACATGTCCTAATTTAACTGATTTGTTGCATTACATGAAGCAAAGAAAACACAGTTGAAAAATTCGATTGGTTTTTCGTTTTTTCAGTGTTACATTTGTTTTGAAGGATTACTTGAATTCAACTTTTGCTTAATATTAATTGGAAAGGAGAAAAAATTCATTTTGATTCAATATGCATCTTAAAGACGAAGTAACAGTTTTAAATACGTCAAATCTTGTTCATAACTGCCCATAACATGCCCTTTCTATTGATTTCACTAACACTGAAAAATCCTAGTTGATTTAATGATTTTCTGTTTTTATCACCCTTCATCATTAAACAACCAAAGTCATAAATGAAGGAAGGTCAGTATTTGTTGCAATGATGTATAACATGTGACTAATTTTTAAAAAGTCGTTTATTCTGTTTAATTTATCCGCAAAAAGTTTGTATGTAGACCTATAAGCCTACATGATTAAATCATACTCTGAGTGACTTTAAACGCTACCCTAATAGCCTCTGAGATAACCAATTACGTTTCTTCAGTTTATGAAAAACTAACTTCCCAAACGAAATGCCGAAGCCTGATTGGCTATTTCAACGAATGACTCTAAAGATCATCCTTGCAACGACTAAAATAGCCAACTCAGTTTCTTTAATTCTACTGGAAAGGTGGATTTTCATAAAATAGAGAAGTGAATCGGTTGTTCTGCGTGTTGTTAAGGTGGCCTTTAGACTTCCACCTTATTTACAGATGCTTAGTATGTGGCTGATTTTCAAGCGACTTTAAAGGCCACCCTAACAAGTGCTGAGATAACCAATTAGGCTGCTATTTTTTATGAAAATCTACCTTGCTAGCTGGAACATCGAAACCTGATTGGTTATTTCCGCAGTTGCCCGATGGCCTTTAAAGCTGCCCTAACTGTTACTGGGCGGTTTGTCGATGCATATCAACAGCCCTTGTCTTCAGAACGTGTTAAATTCAACAGTAGGAGTATTTTGGATAGCCAAAAGTGGCAGCTGGAAACCTGTATTCTTGGGGGTCAAACAGCTGCCGACGAAGTGTATGCATACTCTTGATTTCCCAAACCATGATTTATTCTTATCATTATTATAGCACTTTAGAGTGACTTTAGCAGTCACCCTAACAAGTGCTAAGATAGCCAATCAGGTTTTGGTATTTCGCCTGAGATGGTAGGTTTTCATGAAGTAGTGGGATGTAATTAACTGTCTCACCTGTTTTTAGAGTGGCCTTTAAAGTCACTCGCTTTTTACATCCAGTCCTGTTGAATGTTTTCCTGATATCTTCTAGTTATATGAAAAATCCAAATAAGACATTTTAAGGAGTTCTGTACTGGTTAATTAGCTCGGAAAGCATCGTTTTTGGTTAAGTGTTCTTGAGTGACCTTAGTTCAAAAAGTTTGCTTCCTATTAACTTTAAATTTTATGGTTCAGCAACCAAAACTAACTACATGATGATGGATTCTAGTTGATTTATAGCTTGTTACTTATGACAGATATCTTTTTTTGGGATTTCTGTTGCCTAACGTTTATCGTTATGAAACCCGAATGGTTTGTACTAATTCAAAGATTATAACATCTGATGCATATTATCACTGCGGTTCACTTCTGTCTAAGTGTCAAACGAACTTGATTCATTCAATGTGATGTACACAGCTAGCTGAGAACGCGTTGGTAATTAGGTCACATGAAGAGATTACTGATATCTACCAATCAGATGTATGGTATGTTATGTGGAGAGTTTCTCTGATGCAAATTGTTTCATATTAGATGTATAGAGTCAATTGGCACTGCATTATAGACTCAAAGTTCGTATTTGTCGGTATTCAACGTTAACAAACTTTGATCCGTATCAAAAAATTTACAGTTGTATTAATGATCACGTTCTGATCTTTTCATATAGACAGTCCAAATCATTCTCTGTGCAAATAACGCAACTGACTTCAGCGCATAGTGGCACAATGTCGAATTTCTGAGGAAACCTGAATTTCTTCAAAGTTTCAGAGATACGTTACTGAATAGTACTGACAACTGTAACTTATAAATTAAGGATTTCCGGTTCACTGAGTCTAAAATTGGCGGAAGGAAATAATTGCTGCACAAATTCCACCTCAATCACTTGTTGTTGTTTTAAAAACAATTGAATTAAGGGTGATCACAGCTAATGAATAACTTGCTGGGACTAAATAGTTGTCGAGTGCTCCCAGGTTTCCGACGGTTCCCTAACCGATGTCGATCCGTGATGAATATAAACTTGGAGGTAGAGCCCCCATAAACTTAAAACTGCAGCATAAATAATTTACTTGGTTGTGGCTAGCAGACGAATCGAGGACACATTTTTCATCCTATTTGGGACTCGTCAGCCGAATGTACCTTCACTTCAGCCAGTGATGTTGTTCCCATTGAGACTCGAACCTCATACCCATCGCTCCAAACGGCAAGGCATTATGTGCTAGGCCACTCAGGCGAGATACCCACATCTTGTACAACCGGTATTGGTCATTTCTATTTGTTAAAATGCTTGTAATCTTCTATTGTTTTACTGGATCGAGTTTTTGGCCTCTACTTGCGTATGGGCTCCTTTGCAGATGCCTCGATATTGCCTGAATATTTATTGTAGCAATTTACGGTAAAGATACCTCTCATATAATGAGAATAATCTACTTTCCTCGTATAGCCTATTCGTTAGGTCAGACTTGTTTTCTTCCCTCAGAAATCAGTAATGCCAGTTCATGATATTGTCACTGGTATCTAGATTAGATCACCATGCGAATAGACGTATTGATCATCCCTACCGATACGCTCTTGATATATGAATAGGGACATACTGATAGATTTGTGCGTGTATTCGATTGAACTTGTACGTCTATGCACGTCTGCAAAGTTAAAATTCATGTCTGAATGTCAGTTAAACTATGCCAACTATACATGTACATTATCTTCTTCTGCTTTCTTTTCATTAATTGTTCATCTTCCCTAGCTAATTCCTCCTCTATTCTCTTAAACTAGGAATGCATACATTTCTGAAAGTAGAAGTTATGTGCCTTTATTACTAGGTGCATACACTAAATAGACTTTAAAATAATAAGAATCCACCAAAAAAGGAGATAGTAATGTCAAGCGCACATATTATATAACATTAAATAAGGTGGCATTTATGATTATACAAAGTATTGATCAAATTTGGTAGTCATCATTTTCATTCAATTTCAAACGCTGATTGGTTAGTTACCTTTGCAAACATATATGAATTTAGTGATTTGATTTGATTGATGGGCAAAGCACAGTATGATTTAAAGCTTGAAGGAAACTTTCTTCTCCTTCTTTTTCGTCTTTTTTCTATTGTATTGGTGTTTAGTGTATAAAATTGATTGGAGTTTAGCCTATTATTATTGGGATTTGAAAACTAGGTGATAAACATATTTATAGATATTCAAATCATGTTGGGATTTGATTGTTTGGTGAACATATGTTTGTATTCACTTACATGTGACTAGGTTTATACGTGTGCGTATATGACTGTCACTGTGTATGTACATTTATTCACCTGAATCTTCTGTGTCTATCATAAGCTTGAAGAAATACGAATCCACTTATCGGAAAATTAGTTCATTTTAAGCAAGTACAAGTACTAAAGTGCAAATAATACAAAAAAAGGTTAACAGGTTTAAACAGTTATGCTTTTCAAGGTCAATCAATATGAACATAGTTTCAATGGAACTTGACTGATTCCTATTTGACTTTTCAGTCCACTGAGTTCATTTTAAAACTACTGTTTATCTGAATCGTAATTCGAAATAGAATTACCGACTTCCCAGGTTTGATCTGCTGACGTAAGTCACATTGGTTGAACCACGAAGTGGGGAATTGTGGACCACTGAAGTCCATCCAAGTGACTGGATGATTAACTTGTTCACCATGAGGTCTGAAGGTCCTGAGTTAGATCCCTAGCTAGGTAGTGGATACCTACTGCTTAGAAGTCTGGTACTGGAACGAAATAGCTGTCTGGTTTTCCTAGGATTTCAATGCGATCCCAAATGATGTCGGCCCATGATGAATACTACCTTGAAATCAAATCGCATTACTGATTGAAAAAATTCTTGATGCCTGACAGTGTAGAATGACATAATGGCCGAAGTTTATCAGATGAGAGGGATCAAAGTTGCAAATATGACATGATTTAGCCAAAATCAGCTGTGTACACACTACAGATGTTTATTTTAACCAGAAAGTTGAATCATCCGATATTTTCCTCTCACCATATTCCATTTTCTTTTACGATGTTGTTCTCACTGCACTTATCCGCCTACGAGTTCGAACCCATTTCACTTGTTCTGCAGTGAACAACAAAGTGGAATTGAATACATTTACCTAATATTTCTGCCTCTCAGACTAACCCACAAAGGTACACAAAGTTGATGAATCACACTGACTTATTGTTTTGTTTGTTGTGATGAAAAAAATATGTAACAGTTTTGTCTCAGATTCTACGCTTTACTGACGTGTCAATATTTCTGAAACTTAGTCATGTTCTTTAAAAATAGTCACTTTTGATTAGCCCATAGGCTATTCAAAATGTCCCATAAACGAAAAAAAAATGTCATCATTCAATGAACTATGAACGACAGGGTACACTGTGATTGTGAGACAATTGCTTGGAATTACGAAGTTAACCTGAGTGTGAGTTCACAATTTGTGTTAAAGGACCCTGGAGACAAGGAATCATTCAGTTGATCCAAACCATATACCTTCAAATAATCATGCAGTGTTCATCCATTGGAATCATTTAAAACATACCTCTGAAGTTATGGTCACTGCTGTTTGACATGTACACAAAACTGACTACCTAGAGATTCCAGTCAGCACTGTCTGTCATCGAGGAACCAAATATATGTACAATCTTATCATGTAGACAACAATCTCTCTGAAGTTATATGGCATACTTATTACTGAACCTGACCACACTATGTTCCTTTACAGGTGAATTTCGATTACGTATGAATAAAACAATGAATGTAATGCAGTTTTTTTATTTTCAAAAGTCATTCTTCTTCGACTTCATCAAAAGTTAGATTTTCTTTCTTTCGACTATTTTATTCCATAGGTCATCTCGATTATTTGTGTCGCTGTATGGGCAATTAATATTGGTCATTTTAATGATCCAGCACATGGTGGCTCATGGTTAAAAGGAGCCATTTACTACTTTAAAATTGCTGTTGCATTAGCAGTCGCTGCTATCCCTGAAGGCTTACCAGCAGTTATTACAACATGTTTAGCGTTGGGTACACGAAGAATGGCGGCTAAGAATGCAATCGTCCGTTCACTGCCATCAGTTGAGACATTGGGTTGTACTAGCGTGATTTGCTCAGATAAAACAGGCACTTTGACGACAAATCAAATGAGCGTGTGCAGAATGTTCACATTTGCTAAGGCGGATGATAAAGCTCCTGAAATTTATCACTTTGAAATCACAGGATCTAAATATGCACCGGAAGGTGAAGTGTAAGTTGTACATACTTCTTTTCATTTTCCAATTTTTTCCAGTTTATCGATTATGACAATCATAAGAGGGAGGAAGAGAAAACTAATTGAGTTTTGTTGCGACAACTGTTTTTCAGAATATTTTAAGTTTCAGGTAGGGCGTTACGCTAAAGATCATAACCACCCGTTCCATAGAGGAATTTCACCATGGACTCACTTATTTGTAGAACTAACGAGTACCAGATAGCAGTAAAGATTCTTTTCAACATAGTCATATAAACAGTGGTCTGCGGTATGCCAATTACCCTCTTTGTGACGAATTTCTACCAGAAAAAGTTGGTAGATAGAGACATCCTCATGCGAAAAGATCTGATGATGGTCGCTCTGTATTCAAAATTGTGCTGAGAATTACCACAAGTACAGCTCTCACCCAGTGAGTGAATGGTGGAGTGAATCTCAGAGGGTGAAAATTCCCTCACTTGTGGAGTTGATAAACTTGAGATTGGAGAACATTAGCTATTTAACATCATTTAACCTTAAGTGGTTCCCAACAGGTTTAATATGAGCTGAATTTACTGGCTTCTAACAGTTGCATGATCCATTGGAATATGGGTCACTTAGTATCAATCTGCCCACCTACTACTTATTTTAGTACCAAATTGGGAGGAGAGTGAATGCATAACGTTTCCCATTCGGATCACAGAATGTACTGGAGGCTAGTACATCTATTCAGTAAATATGTTTTTTCAAGGCCCACTGCAGCCCTGCAATCCGACAAAAATCAACATAATATTATCAAGGTATTAGGTGACACCAACGGGTCAACACCAAACGTGGGGTAAACTAATTATTTAACTATCTAGAATATGAGTAATCTAAGACAAATTACTGTAAGCTCTGTAAGGTATGTTGCTTAAAATGCATATTCTACTAGCAAAGATCTTAAATCCTTGGTGAAAAATGAGTTAAAATATGCCTTGTTGAGTAATTTCGGCATTTGTCAGAACTAGATGAAGCAAGGTCACCTGCTGATTAAAGCGCATATCTCATACTGAAATACGATACACCACAGAGTTGTGTCACTTGGCTGAATGACCACACTGGAAACTTGCTCGACAAACTCCAATTAGTACTGATAAAACATGATTTTACAGCTGTATCAGCTACCAACCAACCACCAACTTGTCTAAGTAATCCAGAAAAATGACAATTACATTAACAGAGAAAATGTGGTAAGTTCATTTGTGATGAAACCTGCCATGAAAACATAACATGGTGTTGGACTTTAAAATTACACTACTTATGAGTAGTTGTAATTTTTCAAATTTCTTTTGCAATAAATGCCATCTCATTCTTTCTACTTTGTTGATCTAGGTTTTTGAATGGTCAGAAAGTTGATTCTGGAGAATATGATGGTCTTATTGAAATAGCCCACATCTGTGCCATGTGCAATGATTCTGCTATTGATTACAATGAATCTAAGAACGTTTATGAGAAGGTTGGTGAGGCTACTGAGACTGCACTGAGTTGTTTAGTAGAAAAAATGAATGTATACAAAGTATCGAAATCTGGTCTATCCAAGAAAGATTTAAGCATGGTTTGCAACTATCAAATACAGGTAAGGTTTGTTCAAACTGCTATGTGATATCTTATAAGGTTTTTTGAGTTTCTGAGAATGATGTGATGCACCAACTACGTAGCTATTATATAATGACACAGATAAAGACAACGTAACATCTTCATATCGAAGCTGGCAAATAAACTTGAGCCGGAGGGTCAACTGATTTAAACTTTATAAGCGATATGTAGATGATACCTTCATCATCTCAAATGATGCAAATAATGCGGAAGAAATCACTTGTCACTTTAATAATTTTCACCCTGCAATCAAGTTTACATTAGAGAAGGAACTCCTATTTAGATATGCAACTAAAAAGGTAAGACAATGAAACACTCAAAAGGTTTATTCACAGAAGACTCACTCAGAACGGAAACTTTGGGGATTTTCTTAGTTGGGTGCCTTTTTGGGGTAAAATGAAATCTGATTCGTTCTTTATCCCATAGAATCCGCGTTATCTGCAGTCCTGACATTTCGGAAGATAAATATATCTCCTCAACACGTCTTGATTAAGTCCTTGGCGTTTAATTGCGAAAAAGATAAAACTAAAAGCAGACAGTCAGTTTGTTTTTATAGTTTCTAAGAATCCTGTTTTAATGAAATTACAGTCCAATGGAGACTCATCAACAGAAATATGAGGAAACCATCGCACATACTCACTAAGATCTTACATGCTGCCAAACTTATGCGTAAAGAATGTGCTACCTCCCTCAACCATCTTTGTATGGATTTATCAATTCATCTGCTCCTTTGGAATAAGATATTCTGGCTGTACACAGAGTTCGCTTTCTAAATGTATCTTAGAATATATATATATATATATATATATATATATATATATATATATATATATATATATATATATATAACAGCTCCATAAAGCACCGAGGACAGCCCTTCAGAGCTATTTCCTGGAAAAATCCTTGGATTCCGACCTCCCGATAGGCGCGGAAAACAGCTTCATTGACATCTATAGAGTTCGTGGAAACCTTGTGGAAGGTGTACACCTGAAATTTCTCCCAACTGTGGAAGCCATGATAACTCATATTCTAAAACCTAAACTATGCATTGAAAAGAAGCTTATCCAGTCACTTGCTTTGCAATGGACATGACCCTAAAATCGTTTAGCTCATTTGTTTACTAGCATATTACGCCTTCTCTAAACATCATATTCTTCAGTTCACTTAGCCGAATTGGATTACTCAACTTAGTAACTTAATATTGCTTCTACCTTGGTCAGTCTCCTTCTCATTACTGATATAGACATTATGTAATTCTTTTTCCTATCTCCTAGTATATAATTAAACCTGAATTCCTTTGAAATATGTAAGAAATATCCTTTTTCTGTTGTCATGTCAATATAATATTTATATGTGACTACACAGCTTGGGAATGATATCTGTGAAAAAAAATGACTCTTCGCTGAACACCTTTTGTTTCATAACTTAATAAATACTGAATGATTTAGAAGAAAGGATTTTACATTTTTGTTTATGATAAGTGGATAGACCGAAAAACGTCTCTGTTCCACAGCGCGACAGTTCACGTAGTCCAGCTTTTCAATACCGTACGTTTAGAAGTTAAGCAGACGAAGGTGACATGTTCAGTACCTAGACGAATGCACTTTTGTTGTTACTATCAATTTCATCCATTTTAAAAAAGGTTTTCTAATATTTATTTTTTAAAATCGTGACTAGATAAGTCAAGAAGCTTACATTTTCACATATGACAGAAAGTAACGATCAATGACTTCATATGTGATTGTGTTGCCTTTATTTTTCTATAAAGTGTATCTTCTTTTACTGAACTGTTACTCTAGTTAATACACTACACCTATGTTCAGTATCTGAAATACCAGTATGTTGAGTAATATTATGTGATGGAATAAGTTTTCTCCATAACGTTAGAGATAATCGCAGAAAATAACTGAACATTTCCGACAAATGGAATAGTAATTTATAAGCGGACAAAAAATGAAAGTTTTAAATCTCCGAAACACTTAATAATCAGAATTTGAGATGAAAGAAAGTATGAGGTAGCCTAGCACGTCAGTAACTTCTAAAAGATAACTAAGTATATGCCACATCTTAAAAGATAAACAACTTAGTCAAAGAAATGTCTTTATGTAAGCAAGGGACTGGTGCTATCGAATCAATTAACAACAAGAACCGTGAATACATGTGTGTGTGTGTGTGTTTACACCAATAATCGATGTTAATTTCCAGTTTGCGGGATACTGTTCTTGATACAAATGTCCTAATCTTTTAGAACTTGTCTGGAAGCCGGAAATGTAATTTTTATGAGATTCATTATTCCCCCGAAATCAGAAATATTATCCTTGAGTTATTCAGGTCAATACCGACGACTTCTTGTGATATGTAATTGTGTACATAAATCGGTTACTCATTTAACTATAGGAAAAGAAAAACAGAAGATTGTAGAGAAGAAAACACTTTCTTTTCGATAAAGTTATTTACTAAGCTGTTCATTCTTGATTATATGTTACGATGGGTAGAACGTTGCATAAATATTTCCGGTGAGAGGTCAAAATATATTGAATAACCAAAGAAGGTTACTCAATACAAATGAGGGCTTAGAGTAGGAAGATGAACAAAGAATTCTGGAAATAAAAAGTATGATCACGTAACACAGGATTAGTCTATAACAATCAAGGCCTTATGATAGCCATGGCAAAGACAAAGGTGAAACATACCTTTTATTGAACACAGCGTTGGTTTCAGCTTATAACTAACTAACTGGTGCCTCAGCTATATCCAAATGCCTTGATCTCACTCCCTTTGAGTGGTTTAATTGAAATTGGTAGAGGATTTCGAGTGCGTTCTCAAAAGAAGATGAGTGGTCTGAGGTCACTGAATTGTAACCAATCTGATTTTCAAATCTTTTATACTAACTTCTGATCGCAGTCGTTTGATCTAGCTTTAACTGTAACCTCCAGGCTGAGTGACCCATCATTATGGTGCATTGTACTTTAGTATTACATTTCAAGGGCCATTTCCCAAAAAGACCAACTCCATCTATGCCTCCGGTTTGTCTCAGGCATCTATAAAGGGTATCTAGCTTTCTTTGATCTGTAATCAGGAGCTGGATATGTTCCTATCGCGTGATGAATATGCGTTTATTATCGTCTTGAGGGTGTCAGTACATCCCAGATATAAGTACAAACATAGTATTCACGAGTGATAATCAAAGATGACTTTAAATAAGGGTGTGAAAATGTTACAGTCCTAAATGTAGGTCTCCAAACCTCAACTAATTGCTACTGCTACTGTATTTATTAACCCTAGTAACTGGATGTAAATGTTTTCAGGGTGGAAGTGTTCCACTCTCTCACATTTATGCTGTTATATGTATCTTTAAACAACACCGAAAATGGATGTCATATTAATGCCTACTGATATCCAATAAATTAGTCCATCTTGATATTTCCCATTAAAAAAAAGATTCGGGAATAAATCACTGGAAAGTTAAACACTTTTATCAACTAAACATCTAGCTGCTTGTGTAACATATGCAGCCTACCTCATCATCCATCATTTCATTTTAACTATTCATTCATCTATGGCTACTAAAGTTGTTATTCACTTGAAGCATATAATGTGCACATGACTAAAGTTGACAGTGACATGCCTATATTTTGGGTTACATTAAGTATATACGAGCCTACACTGATATGCTTGAATACTGATGTCAGAAGATAAACAGATTAAGTAGCTATTGTTATAATAAGTATGGGAAAGGTTAGCGCAAAATAAAATATTTCGTGAAGTTTACCACTAATATCGTAAATGCATTTACTGATATTCTGCCTAGGCAGTTATTTGAATCGGCAAAGAAGGCCACCCTATAACCATCTGAAAAATTAATTGGATTTTGAACTAGAAAGATGGTTTTTTTCATAAGAATGAAGACATACTTTATTGTCTACTTTAGTAGTTGCTATGGTGACCTACCGAGCCCCCTAGTGAACCACATGTTATATAAGTGAATTGTGAAACTATGGTAAATGAGAAAAAGGTTTTTCTTCACCTTTTGAAAGGTTTCAGTCACATACATCCACAACATTTGGGCTCCAGTAAAAGCATATTAACTATACAATTCGTGCACTGGGTCCAATAGATCTACAGTACAAAATTAATCATCTATCAGTGTCATGTGTGCTAGTACTTTTACAAAGTTCTAAACTGATAGTTATAATAAGCGAAAAGTTGGGTTATTCTCTGACAGGTTCTAAAATCTACTTTGAAGTCAACTGATAATTGTTATTACACGACAGGTGGAAAAATGTCAGGTTTTAATAGGTTTTGTGTTAAGATGAATAGACTTCTTGCAACATATCTAAGTGGAACTAAACCAAGTAGCTTATTACTGACTGACTCTGAAATAAACTTCCTATAGTTCGAATTGAAAGCGATGGTCATCAAATGGATGCCCACTGGAAACAGCGAATGATCCTTTCCTCGGAATACAAATCGTCTAAAATTGAAAAAATATGGAATGCAAGTGAGTGATTCATAAAAGCGTACATCATCCAAGGAAATCAAGTTATCAGGCTCACGTCTTTACGGTGCTAACAGAGTGTATTGCTGTGGGGTCACAAACTAGAGTGAAACAATTTTCGTTCTCTCAAGAGAAGAAATGAACAGTAGTAGTCAGGTCAGTATAAAATTCCAGACTTTGTTACAAAAGGAAATTTGACGAGGGAGTTTTGCAGTGATTAGAATAGTATTCCAGGATTCTTATTTTACTTGTAACTTGGACATTAGTCAGAGAATTTTGAATTGTAGCAAATAATTGAACTAGAATTACATCTTCGTACAGTTTCTGATGTTGTTTCAAAGTTAAAAGCAGTTGAGAATTTTCCATGATGTAAGATAGTTTTGTCTTATTCCGTTCTGATGGTCCTCTTTTTTTCACTAACATGTAACGACGTTAATTTCCCTTTTGCTGAATAACATAAATGATGCGGAGCTTTTTAAGATATCCAGCAGTTTTATTGGAAGTTTTAGTCCAATATAATTGAATACTTAGTGAGTTGGCATTATTTAGGCTTAAAATGACCATCAATACTATGTTGTGTTCATACTCCAATCGAGAAAGCTTAATTCTGCGAATTCAACTTGATGCCGTATGTCGAGGTCAACAGGACCTCGTAACTCAGTTGGCAGAGCATCGGGCTGGAAACGCTATGGTCGTTGGCTCGAGTCCGGCTGTGGTCAAAATCTTCCTTTTCGTTATTGTTGCTGTTTCAGAAAACACTATAACGACTAGCACTACCCCTAGAAAGGTCAATGGTGATAATGCAGGTGTTATCTTTTTGTTTTCCTGGGTTTAAGTCTTTTACCTGAACCGTTAATATCTATCACAGATGAGTACTTTTATTTGCAGGTTACATTTAAGACTCTTCTATCTTCAATTTATCTGACTAGGCTATGTGGAACAAAGAGTTTACTTTGGAATTTTCACGTGATCGAAAGTCAATGTCAGTCTATGTACAAGCTAAGCCAACCTTTACATCTAAAATTCCAAATACAGCAGGTTCAGGAGAAACTGGACCAAGAATGTTTGTAAAAGGCGCACCTGAAGGTGTGCTAGACAGATGTACATTTGTACGTGTTGGTAATAAGAAAGTACCTATGACACCAGCATTAAAAACTGAAATTGTCAAAAATGTAGCCGCTTATGGAACTGGTCGTGATACACTCAGATGTTTGGCTTTAGCAACATGTGATTCACCAGTTAACAGAGCACAAATGGATTTAGAAGATTCAAATAAATTTGTTAAATATGAAGTAAGTTATAAAATAATCTTATGCTATTATTCAAATGAAACGTTGTCTGCTTTTCTCCTGGTTAATTTTCTATACTACTCTGACTTATTTGCTTTATTCACCGATGTAGTTTGTTGAGAAATGATTGATTCCAGGGCAGTTTGCATTACAGATTAGTATTTTTGAAGGTCATAAATGCATACTGTCAAGGAGAAACAAACTAGAAACTGGAAGCCGTACAATATTCCCTGATTTCCGCTACTTCTCTAATTGATGTTACATGGTCATGGCAACTACCCTGAAACAATTCATGTTGAGTAAGAAAAGAGTAGGAAAAAATGTGAACTTAGCAAAATGAAATTCTCTCCCTAAAATTGGCTAGTCAGAAGCCCCATGCATTAGCCTATGGTTTAATTGAAATAAACAGTAAGGTGTATTTTTATTCTTAGTTTTCGTATGAAATAAACACTGATTGTTATTTGATACTTCACGAATAAACGAGTAGCTGGAAGAAAGCCAGTTTCTTGAAAGATAGTACTCAGTATTGAAAATGGTTAAAAATTGACTTATAGCACTTGTAATGATGTAGTGACAGATTTTTTAAAATCTTTGTTACTGAGATTATCAAAATGTAAACGTGGTAACAAATAGTCAGATTCTAGACTTCTGTGTCAGAATTTTCTTCAGGATTTGGTCATAGGCTCATAGAGTAAGTACTTCTCAACTTTTCTACTTCACTAAACTCTGCTTTACATTTAGCTACCACACTATCTCAAGAGGTTTCGTCTCCAAATTGCTTTATTGTCAGCTCTGAAGTATCTGGCTTGACTCACTAGAAGTATTTACTATTAATAGCTGGCTATGTTTAGTTGCTTCAAGAGTAACAGAAATGTTGTAGATGAATTCATGGCGCGTGTGATAAATCGTTGGCGAGACTTACAAAAAATCACTTCTTTATATTACTTTTATTTTGTAATCTATTTTGTCTAGCAAAATTTAACATTTGTCGGAGTAGTTGGTATGCTAGATCCACCACGTATGGAAGTGTTCGATAGCATTGCCAGATGTCGTAAATCCGGTATTCGTGTTATTATGATTACTGGTGACAATAAAGCGACAGCTGAAGCTATTTGTCGACGTATTGGTATTTTCGGTGAAGAAGAATCAACCACTGGAAAGTCATTTACTGGACGTGAGTTTGACTCATTGCCTATTGAAGAACAAAGAGAAGCATGTAGACGAGCTAGATTATTTGCACGTGTCGAGCCTATGCACAAGAGTAAAATTGTTGAGTTTCTTCAAGAGGATGGTGAGGTATCAGCTATGGTAAGTAAATAATACGATCATTTGTTATTTTAGGTTTTTTAAAGCAACTAGTGGTCATAATTTGTTCAAGCAACAGATTTATTGTCTTTTGGTTTATTTGCGGAAATTTACATTATGAAGTGATAATGAGTCCAGTCTCTTCTCATCAGAAACCTACACTTCCGAGAATCTCCAAACTATGACAAGACCTTCAACCTAATAGTTTCTAGTTCTTGGTAATCTCGTAGCTTACATAGTTTGATTATGAAAAGTATTTTCACATTATAAGGTAATTAGACTATACACTTAGTAGACTGAGTAGCATAGTGAAGTCCGTTTCATCATATAGTTACAACTCGGATGAACAATATTTTAATTATTTAATTCATATTATCATCATTTTGAGGTGACGGAGGATATTTGTAGCTCAGGAAAATAATTTTGATGGTGTTGTGTTCTTTGAGATGGATTGCTTAATCGTAGAGCTTTCGTTGTCATTCTAGACAACGCCATCACCACAAACTTCAGAAGGAAGGAAGTGATAAGCTTTCCTCAGCAATTCATTTAGTGACTTATCCTAATGGCTTTGTGTATGATTGATCGCTTCTGCCAAAGTCTTGTCATTGTCTCTACGTTTATTTGATTGGTTGTCTTAATGATCTGAGATCTGACCTTTCTATTGTCTCTTATCGGTCGACAGATTGGGTCAAGGTCAATATGTCTGTTGATTGCTGACTGACCGGTATGCCAACCTTACGAATTTAAGTCTCTGTAGTATAAACAACAAATTTGGAGATGATCACAACCGTCTAACAGGTGGAAAATGGAACGAAACGTACAGGTTGAATTTCACTGCCAGCTAAAGTTATATAGTAATGAATGCTTTACCTCAGTCATGACACTTTTGTGTAAGATATCCTCTAGATAAACTCACCGTACATTCAATACCTTCTGGTTTTGTTGTTAATAAGAATATGTTGACAAGTTAGTCAATAAATTATCCTTTATATACTGTAGCACAAATGGATTTAGAAGATTCAGATAAATTTGTTAAATATGAAGTAAGTTATAAAATAATCGTGTGCTATACTGGCAACCAGTTGAATACAAAAGTTGCTGCCACAAATTATTTTTTGCATAAGATGTTGAAGCACCTGCGGAGTGCTTAAGTGATCAAATGACTCACAGTGTGAATGTAGCTATGAAAATCTGGCTAACACCCCTCTGATATCCTTTTCAACTGTTATTGATCATGTTCTAGTCTTGTCAATTCTCACTTGAGACTACAAAGTTTTATTATATACACCTAAGTTATAGTAAAACGTGCAAAATATTTTTTGAAAGTTTATTTTAGTTTACTGTCAATTCAAAGCAAGACTGTCACATTAGGCTGAAGTTTATACACTGCCCTTTGTAAACTGTATATGGGGAAGATGTGCTTCAAACCCCCAAAGTATAGAGAGATATAGTTGTCCTTAATATGCAATTATTCAAACTTCACCCCCTTCTATTATCTTCAGTTCACCTTGAGTTTTTGAATGTTTAGACACTAGTATACTAGAAATCACTATGGGAAATTACTGTGACACCGCAAGCTCAATCATTTGAACTAAAAGAGATACGTTTTTATCCGAATCTTTTAGTAAATGTGACTTCATATCCGCAATACTTTAAGGTAGCAGTGGAATCCTGGACGCACGTTCCGTCCTATTTGAAATTTGTCAGCTGGATGTACCTGTACTCCAGTGAGTGATTTTGCTACCATTGAGACTCGGAACTCGGATGTATTGCTTCAGACCCCAAAACGTTATCCATTAGGCCATGGAGACACCATAGCCACCTCTTGTACATCCAGCTGAAAGGTTTCAAATACGGCGGAACACGGTTCCTGGGTTCCACTATTCTCCAGATCAGGTCAATTAACAGTGAATATCCAGTCAGTATCGAGATATTCTCATAGGATCTCATCTGCCAACAGGGATTGGTCAATTTGATCTGGTAAAACACTGGAGGATAAAAAGTATCAACAAATAATAATTTAAAAGCTGATGTTTAGCAATAACGCTCGTGTCAGTCTTTCAGCCACTGAAAGAAAATTTTAATAAGTGCAACTTAAACATGTTTAAGCAGCTAACATTTGGCGTTTCCATAAATTTAAACACAAAAGAACGGACTGATTAGAAGTTCAGTTTACCTAGTAAAATTATAGCTCAAGTTGTTTCCAATTATAAGTGTACACAACAGATAAAAAGCACTTCTTAGTTGAGAGTTAATGTTGATTATATGAAACATAAAATACTTTTGTTTGGTGTTAGAAGTTACCTGGAAAGTTACCTTATTAGCTTATTAGTATTCTCTCCGATTTTGGTGCTGAGCGAAATGAAATCGGATACATTTTCTCAAGTTTGAAGGAACCCTTCGTATATGAGTTTAGTGATCATAATGCAAAACTTTATGAATCGACTACAAAAATGATATGATATAGCAACCATAGTAATAAATTAGTGTGGACAGTTCTGTTTTAGAAAGATACTTAAATCGAAAGATAAAATGGAGCTGGGAAAATTGCATTTTAGTGGATGAGTCCTAAATAGATTCGATTCATGTTGACATGGTATATTCTTCTTGATCAATGCGTGTAGATGACTGCAACTACGACCTTGATTGGGACAATGTAGAAATACTATAATAACTAAGTTTATGAACTACAAGAGAACTCCTGAAAGCATGGTACTCCAATCAAATGACAATCAACAAATACGCGGACACTGATCCAATACACCGACTTCTAAAAGGGAATCAGGCAGCTGTGAATCACTCACGCACACCAACAATCACACATCAGGTCAGATGATCAGAACAATTATTATGGTCACCCTGTGATAAAAAAGGACAGGTTGCCCCCATCAACAAGCCGATAATGTTGAAGGCCAGAAAACACCATTCATAAACACTTATGCAAATTGAAATGCTTCCCTTCTCTATGAAGTAGATGTTGATGAATTCGTCTATCCTTGTGATAAAACCTTCAACAACATACCTCAAAGCTCGGAGAACACCATATAATTATCATCCTTATATCAAATTACAAACATCCCTTACTATCTTAAATAGATGTCCTGTAAATTATCGACAATATTCAGTAGAAACGGAAACAAACTGTCAACTTATGTCTTACGTGAATAACTTCAGGGCCAAAAATTCAGTTAAGAATAGAGCACATTTGGTATGACTTTAAAAGCCTACCCTCACAAATACTGACACAAAAACTTAGGTTTCTGTATTCCATGAAATGAAGAAGTCTAACTGGTTATTTCATTCTCAGCTACAGTAACCTTTAAAGTCACTCGAAATAACCAATCATGTTTATTTATTTCGCGGAAGAAGCGTAGTACATACTTTCTTTGACCGGTAACATGTGTCTTACATGTTTCAAATACCTTAAAATCGTTGTTATTTCATGTTGTAATTAATTGAAAAAAATCCACGAAATAAAATGGATTCATTTCATTTCTTTTCAATGGTCAACTCTGGTTTACGGAATAATTTTATCATGTCAATAAGGACCATGTTATTTCCTTCATAAGCCACTATTTAAAAAAAATCAAACTACATTCTTACCTTATTTTGTTTCCTTTCAACAAACATATGATTAAACTAACAGACTGGAGATGGTGTAAATGATGCACCAGCCCTTAAGAAAGCAGAAATCGGCATTGCTATGGGAAGTGGTACAGCTGTAGCGAAATCAGCTGCTGACATGGTATTAGCTGATGATAATTTCACTTCAATTGTGTTGGCTGTTGAAGAAGGACGAGCTATCTACAACAATATGAAGCAGTTCATTCGTTATTTAATTTCATCCAATATTGGTGAAGGTATGTTCAAATGTTATATGAAACACTTATTAATGATATGCAATCGAGAGTATTTTTAAAACGTCAAAAGCATTATTTAGTGGTTAAAGACAACCAGTTGGATGTCGTGAACTTAAATTTCCTACTTCTCAGATTTACCCAATACCTTAGGACAAAACCTAGTTTCAGGATTTCCTGAAAGGCTCTGGATATGTATCACTGACTAAACCACTTTAATAATCTTTATGAATATTTTGGGCAGAAACTCAACACTATTTAAAGGGTCATTTTTATTAGGTGCTTACTTTACTTGTTCGCCTTAGCAACCTCTTATTGAATAAAGGTTAACTTACTTGACTAGTAGACGTCATTTGAAATACTGAAGAGAGGGAATACTTTTATCTGCATAGAATTGTAGAAGTCAGAATTAAGGCCATGTTTTCTTCACGTGCTGTTTCACAAATTAATCATATTTAGCTCGGTGGTAACTTAATGCATATGGGACCTAAACGTTTTGACGTTGTGATTGAAGACATAAAGAGAGTGCAGCCTGATGCAATTAATAACAATAATAATAGCCTTATTCCAAACAAGACCTGTTGTACCGTACAAAGTTCTCAGCATATAATAGTTCAACAGATTCATTCTCTGTACAGTGTCTTTATGCAAAATAGTCACTGTATTGGAATAATGTTAATAATAACAGTAATAAAAGCCACAGGTTGAAACAAGCACCTGGTATTACACTAGCATCTGATTTAGACTGATGAATGAATAGAATTTCGAGGGTAATTTTGGCGGTGGTAGTTTATTCAGCCAGTACTAGAATTTCATTTCTTTGCATCTCTTACCAGTTTATCGTTTATTCTTTGTTTTGCAGTGAGCCGGAAAAACCGCAGGTTGAAACCATTTTAAAAGTGCACTAGAGTACTTCATACGTTTAAAAGACATTTATAAGATTAAAACAAATTAGTAGAATGGATTTGATGAAATAAATTCCGTAGAAATTTATCGATAGCCCGAAGTTTAACCAGGCCACCAGATTGATACAAGATGATCTAAAAAGGTTAATCATGTACCGAAATCTTAAGTTATCCTATAAATAATACCGTATCATGACGACAACTGTTGTCAAACTACATTACAGTTCTCACAAATTCTTCTAGTTGTCTTTTCAAATTTAATTTTTATTACTGACATTCATCCTGGTGAACGGTAGCATCAGACGGCAAACTATATGCAAGAATATATTTCTTTTTGAACTATAATTCGTATTTAGACTGATGAGATTGTTGGTCAGCAACAGAATGTTAATTCACAAGATAGCATTTCAATTAAACACTTTCATTATTCTTTGAATAAGGTAGGACAGACTAGACTTTGTGAATTTCAGCATCTACTTGATGTTTTAGTTTACTTGGTGCCTACCTCAGCAATACAAGACATGTATTTCGTGCTTTTGGGGACTCGTCATTTGGATGTGCCTACAACCCAGTCAATGATCGTGTTCCCAGTGAGACTGAAATCCAGTGCTGGTTGCTTCAAATGACAGAACGTTTCCCACTAGGTCACTGGAAAAGTCATGGTTTGGTAGACTCGTATTGCTACTATGTGATGATTGAAGATGAAATAAAAATTTGAACTGCAGCGGGAGTTCAGTGGCTAGAGCGATGGGCAGGGTGGCCAGTGGCCGCTGTTTCGAATCCCAACGCAGCCCATATCTTCATTCTATCTTAAGTCATCACCCAGTATTAAATAATTGTCAAGCGAATTGTGCTGATCTGTAACCCTCCACTTACTCTTATCTTGGGCATACCTTAAAATAGTGGTTTGATATTCTCCCAGGTTTGATATGCTTACGTATGTATATTTGTGTATGCATATGAATAAATAAGTTATTTTAATGACTATAAAAATACTACTCATGCTTTTTTTTCTATTAGTCGTTAGCATCTTCCTTACAGCAGCATTGGGTCTACCTGAAGCTTTGATTCCAGTACAACTGTTGTGGGTCAATCTAGTAACTGACGGTTTACCAGCTACTGCTTTAGGTTTCAACCCACCTGATTTAGATATTATGGATCGTCCACCAAGGAACATTAAAGATCCTTTAATATCTGGATGGCTGTTCTTCCGTTATGTTGCTATTGGTGTTTACGTTGGATGTGCAACAGTTGGAGCAGCTGCCTGGTGGTTCAGTCTTTATCCGAAGGGCCCACAACTGAATTACTACCAACTGGTAAGCAACATAATATCTAAATATCCCATTGTGTTGCCCAAGAAGAGCCGCATATACAGACAGACAGATATTGGATTCCAAATTTCTATACTTTTAATATTTTTTGTCTTCTTTAAGTTATTCATATTCTTAAGAGTAAATAAAGCAGAAATGACTTAATAGACGTTTATGAAGTAGCAAAGGAATTACTCACATGTTTTAAGTTCTTTATCAACCCTTCTCTTTAACTTATTCGCCATAAAACTAGGTGCAGTATAATTCAGCAACAAACGCCCACTGCTTCTATCTACTGTGTGATTTCCTTTCCAATAGCTGCAATCTCAGTTCAATCATTTTAATACGCCTCCAGTTCATAGCACCATAAGTTTCTTGACAATTTTCGATTTCTTTTGAGTTTTGACAATGAACTAGTAAAAGCGAAGTGCCAAAATGCAAATGAAAGTCTCAGTTAGTTGGAAGAAACCAGCAGCAGATCCCGCTTGACATGGGTTTTGTAGTTGCTGAGACTCATCAACAAGGCGTATCTACCACCTTGCGGAAACTAATGTCCCCTGTGAAATTCAAATTCATGTCACCCAGTGTTGTATTCAGTGACGTTACACTGAATCCTTTGGGCTGCGACTGGCCTCTCTTAGGACTGGATCAGGTACATCAACTGGTCATGGGAGAGCAACCAATCTGATTTTGTCAGGTCCTAATTTCTGACCGAATTCTGTCGATCATTTTTAAAAGTGGCCATCAAGCTAGGAGATTCACCATTAGAGCTGCGGACACGCCTTGCTGACGAATACCAACAAGCACTCAACCTAGGTCCACGGCTTCTTGCAGATTTTCTTCAATCAACTAACATCCATCAAAGTGCATGGCAATGACGAAGCTCCTAGCTTTTTGGTCACATTCCAAAATGATCAATAAAATCCAGTCACCACTCAGGACTACACAACATGGAACTACTAGTTACCTTATGACCAATCAGTACAGTAAATGAAAGTCCCAAAATCGGGTTAAACTGCTAACAACTAATTACAGAGGAAGCTTAAAGTCACGAACTGAAAGACGATTGGCGCCCCCAACTTTTCACAACCCAATTCCTTAGGAATTTAAACCCTCTTTTACTGAGTTCATTGGAAATGTAAGCGCCAACAGTGCAAACGAAAGCAAAAATTTGCCTTTTGATTGTTGACTGTACCAGAAACCATTTTCTACACTTGTTGAGCTATATATGCCCTGATTTTTCCTGCATAAAGTTTCCGCATTATTCTAGGCATCATATTTAATAATGTTTTAAAAAGGAAATTAATCTGGTACATTTTTAAATGACTAGTTATAGTTCGAAACAAGTAACTAGAACTTGCGTAACGTCACAGATGTGAAAATTATCCACTTAAGCGACGGAGAGATAACATATTTGTGTTGAAATAGTTTTTCATTCTTGGTAGAGAGTAGAAAGTCATTTTCCAGTTATACTCTCCTCCATAAAATTTTCTTCATTATATTGGTTATACTTGTAGAACAACATACAACTCTTCTGAAGCCCACACTACTCCCAGTTGCCATATTTTTTAACTCTTCAGAAACATATCACTGACAAAAAGTGCCAACCGCAAACTATTTCACCTGTAGTCTCGTCAACCACAAAATTCTGGTATCGGATAGACTATAATTTCTAAACGTCTGAAGGCAAAATTCGGTAATCGTATCTACCGACGTCATTTTATTCTTTAACCATCGACTATTTCGAATAAACGGTCTCGTCATTCTTTTTAGCATCTACTTTAGTCTGAATATGATTTACTGAAATTTAATTCACATTACAAGTGACTGAGAGGAGAAGAACTTGTTCTAAATATAAGTGTAAAACTTGGGATTGTGGTAAGATGTAATTCCCTATTAGGTTTGTTCATTTAATATAGAGCACACACACTGAAGACTTGATGACCTGCGTATAGAAGGGAATGAAAAATGGTCAGTTTCAATGTAACAAATATTTATACTAAATACAAATGAATACTACACTTGAAGCAGTGAGGAATCAACTAAATACTGACTGACAACGTACTCATAGAACTAAGATATTGGTTGATGAAATCATATCAGGCAAACAATGGTTCCTGAACTTCACAATCTTCAAGTTTTACGATAAAATATATAGGCAAACATAATGAGTGGCAATAAGGCTACCAATATCCCCAATCTTAGAAAATACATTGATGGAAAGTTGAGAAAACATGGCTTTACGAACGTTTAGTTCTGCACTTAAGATATATGAGCGATATGTGGATGACAAATTTGTGTTGAAATAGTAATATATCTACAATTTCCTCACGCATATAAACTCAGTAGTTGACGCAGTCCAATTTACTTTAGAGGGGAGAGAGGAGAGAGAGATGAGAATTAGCTTTATTGGACTGCAGAGTAAAATGAAGGACAGATGGTGGTTTGGATACTACCGTCTACAGGAAACCAACACATTCTAACAGGTATCTAAACTTCAAACCGTCTCATCCAATGTCACTTAAGGTGGCTTTAGTTAAACGTCTAAATGATAAGGCTAACAAACTAACTAGTCAGTGCAAGGACCTAAACAAGGAATTGGAACGCATAAAAGAAGCGTTAATAATCAATGATTATTGAGAAATTCGTACGAACACGTAAGAAACAAAATGATGACAGTAATAGGTATATGAATAATAGCAAAAACATGAGAAGAAATAAGTCCAAAGCCTCTATTGTGTCATCATATAAAGGAAGGTACATCAGAAACTTTTTGTGTGATTCTCAATAAAAAGGCTGGAATTATGGAGGTATTTAAACCAACACACTCACTCAGAGGTAATATTTGTCTGCTCAAGTATCTGATAGATCCAGTTAAGCAAAATAATCTAATTTACCGGATTCCATGTCATGACCATGAGGTCAAGCACATTGGTCCGAATAGCTGGCTGGAATCAGTTAGATTAGATAAATGAAATATACAATGGCAGACCCCAATAAGATCAATAATCTAGAGAAAACCCGGCCATTACAACGCATATATTAACTCACAACCACTGAATAGAGTGGGATTAAGTCACTGTACCCAAGGTCAGTGTCATTAGGTGGAGGGAGAGATAAATTACTGAGTCTTTGTTCATCGAATCTAGACCTAATGCATGTAATAGGAATTGTGCAACACTTATACCAGAGATATGGAAACTTTTATTACCAATAAAAGCAAAGAGTATCATACAATAGGACTGCAAAAATCAGAAGTCGAAAGTGATGTAATTACACTCAAATGAAATGATTCTATTTGCAGCAGTCTGAATTATTTAAGAAATCTGAATGATGCAAGTTAATAGGCACAGAAATAACAACTATTTCAAACGGCGGTCAAACTTAAGATCTTGTAATCACTGTGAAGAAGTATAAGTTAGTGCGAAAGCATTTTTTTAAAAAACATTTAGTTGTTTCAATAACTGATAAATTATATCGTATTTCATTATTTCTAGAAAAGTTATCTTTTATGAAAGGAGTATTGTTTCTTTGTGATATTACGATTTACATGACAGCTTGATGAAAAAGATGAAGCTATAAATATTCCTTTCTGTGTAAAACGTTGCTCTATGCGTTTTTGTTTGTTGAAGACAGTTTTTATTAAAGATTGAAACAATATTTGGCAGCGAGGTAGTTCAAGGTTTTGCTCAGATTATATTTCTTCCTAAGAGTATCTGTGATACCTTCAGTTGACGGATTGTTATATCTATACAGCTGGGAGGGCTGAAGGTGAAACTACATCCAAGGATTAAATCAGTCTTTTTTTCATCATTGGAACGCCTATCAGTTGGATCGCTTAATTTAGCCAATAAAGTAGTGATATACTGTTAACCGATAGACTAACAATTCAATACCTCGTGTCACCTGCATTTCATTCTCCTTGAACAAATTATAAACTTATCCGGACTGAACAGGGTTCATTATGTACCCATCAAACTGTTTGTTACTTGGAAGTCATGTAGCATTCAAGTTAAATGATTTTCAAGGTGTATCATGAAGAAAACAGTGGTTATAGATTAAATGTCACTCCTTTCATTTAACCTGCTTTTAGGAAGCCGTTACGTTGAGATTGTAAATACTGCTGTTAGGCTAATAAGCTGTACAACTTCATGACATGTAGAGGATAACAATAGTCACAAACAGAAGATATAAATAAGAGTAAATGGAAATATAGGTGAGGTGATTCAATAAATAACACGTCTCAAGTTTATTCTTACAGATTAAACTTCGGAAAAAGTATAAAACAAGCTTATGCAAGTCAGTTATAAACAGCCCATAAACTGCATGGATCAGATCCAGATGACGTGGAAGAAAATAGCTGCCTTAAGATGTCCTAATTTTTCTGCCATATTGACTACAATGCAAAAAAATTAGTAGGATCCGGTTAACGCTCAGGAAGTGAAAAGAGTCGTTTCGCGCAGTTTACCAAAGACCTTGGAAACAAACACTTCAGGTTAACCTAAACTTGAAACGAGTTTATTCATTTCATGTTGGTATTCATTACGAACTAAGATCAGTCGAAGAACCGTCGAAAACCTGAGACCACTGGACAACTGTTTTGTTCTAGTAAGGAGCTCCTTAGCGGAACGTACCCATGACGCCATCACAGATCGAACTCATAACCTTTACGTTCGTCTACAAGAAATCCCCGTGAAAGTGGACTTTTTGAAAATAACCTTTGAGTCGAGTAAAATTTCGATCTCAAGTGTACTAAAGATTATTGCAATTGCAAGCTGCATTTGGAAGTGGAAATAGCTATCCATTGGTGTCTAGTCAATTACTCATACTAGGCTGAATGATTGAACTGCCACTCTAGCTTAAAACTGGACAATGTTAACTCACTGTGATCGGATGATAGCTATCTAGAAAAATGACTGAGTGAATAACAAATGACTGACCTACTGGTCAAACCACCGCATGCATATTATTTGGTGATATATGTATATATATTTAAAGACCTGACCAATATGATATAGCTGTCGTCTAACCTTTAGATAACAGTTGGTAGGTGAGGTTTTAACTGAAGGCTATAGGACAGCCTGTAAACTCGTATCAGTCATCATTAATCAGAGGCATTTCACTATGTAGTCAACACTGAACATGCTTGGTACACAGATTTGAGTACCTGAATGTTACCTTTGATGAAGTCAAAAGAATATTAGAATAAGATGAAACTCATGCCCACTTTGATCTGATTAATAGATAGTATTCAAGTAATAGTGATTTCAAATGAAGTCACCTACAGCCTAAGCTTATGAAAAATAGATTTTTTGACTAATTTTAATTCATTAGTAAGTCAAAGCTAACTTCATCACATTTCATTTCTTCCTACTCAGAGATTGATGTTTCCTTGAAGTTATTGATAAGGAAAACAAAAATCTTCCGGATACACATAACAGACTAGTTGTGTACCATCTGTTCACTAATCCTCCGATTCTACTTGGAATATTAAAGTTGTATTATAAACTAATCAGTTAAATACAAATAAAATATAAGAAAATCGCCCTTATGGTGACCAGATGCTCATTAATAATACCATTGTTACTATGCGGATACACAACGATTGGAATTTTCTTTCAATTTGGTACTTTGTGGCATCCTGAAAAATGAACAGGCATAAATTATTTCAATTTTATATTAATGATGGATAGCGATTAGCAGTGGAATCCAGGAAGCGCGCTTCGTCCTATATGAGACCTGTCGGCCGGATGTTAAAACAAGTGACTACAGTAGATTATTTCAGTTAGTTATAATTGAATTAATCAGGTAATAGTATCTTGGATAGAAGAATTCATTAAATACTTACCCAAAAAAATGATCCAACTCAAGAGTAATGTGAACAGCCTCGAAGCAAGCACCACTGTTTAAAATTAGATGAAACTATTTATCTCAAAACAGTTTTCATCCCAGAATGACATCACCTCAGGAACTATTGAAACCTAGAGAGTGCTCAAAAGCTTCTTCATTCAAGGTTGAAACTGTCTTGGTAGCTTTAATCAACAACTTCTGTACAAAGTCAAGCTTGGATATTTCAGATCTCACAAAGAACAGGGTTACCGTCCAACTAATATGTTGAAGTGTAGAAGTTTGTACCTCCTAGTTTTTGTTAATTTGTGATGTAGCACCACCACCAAAAACAACCAATCCCTTGGAGGGGGACGTTTCTAATAAAATTTCAGTCAGTTTATGGTAAAAACAAAGTTCCAATCTATTGGTTTCACACAGACCAGCTGAAGAACAATAATTTGTTGCTCAGAAAGTCATAACTTGCACATTTAACCAAATAAGGATGGCATTCGACTATGTCCATGTAACATTGAAAATTGAAATCATATTCCAGTTAAGTGACTGATTGATAAGGTGCACTTTGAGAAATTTGAAATTCGAGTGCGTTATGCTGTGGGTACACACTGTTGAAGACTTCAAAATTTATATTAGATTACATGGATGCAAAATCATACTTTATGCTTTATAAAGATGATAAGAACTGAAAAACTTGCAAATATTGTCACACATCTGTTTCTTTCATGCTATAGTAGTTATGAGGTAAGACAATGAGAGGAATAGGACTTGAGAAGTTACAGAAACTCTATTATACGTATCTTTTCTGGTATGATATATGACTGCTAAATTAGTAACCCCGTGATTCGATAAATTAGATGAGTTAGTTGATAGAACTGTTAATCTCTACTGATTAAGATGGTTCGAGTGTCAAAAGAAAAGCAATTGGTCACCTTATGCGCATCCCTTCAGTAGGTACTGAGACACACCTACCGTGTACAAGCTAGTGATACTACCTGACTGCCCAAACCTCGGTAGGTGGAGTGGGGTTCGAATCCTTGGGTCAGTGGTTGATAGTCATCTCCCTAAACCACTAAACCACCCATGCTGGTGATTGTAAGAGACCTTGTTTGAAAAGTATTATAAACTATAAAACTGAAACATGGTACCAGTGTATGAATATCCTTACTGTCAGTTTGAGGAATATCCAAATGGGCAGATTTCTGTACCAAACATGGTAATGACCAAATGTTAACGTATTAACCAATACTGAGGTAATATCTGTCTGTTGTGACAACTGTGTGATTATCAAAGCTTTTCTACTTAAAATATTCAGCTGAAGTACACCACCCTATCACATGAATCTTCCCACGACTGAATTCGAAACTCTTTGGTCTTTCACAAACTTGAAGAATGCCACCAACTAAGACACCAGTTATATGTGAAAAAGACAAACACATGCATTTATTGAAACAGTTTTTCCCTGATTAATTTTTATGATTATAATTTTCGTTCCCAGACTCATCACATGCAATGTTTGGCAGAGAAGGATAACTTCCATGGAATCGACTGTCATATTTTGAGAATCCCAAACCAATGACTATGGCATTGTCTGTTCTAGTTCTCATTGAAATGTTTAATGCTTTGAACAGGTATCTTACCCGTGTGTTTTTTCACAGACTTTGAGTTCATTGCTTTCCTTTTTTAAAGTTGTGAATTTTATTTCGTTTTCTTCTAAACTTAGACTCATCAATCTCAGTGCCTAGCTCAAGAATCTCGTTTTGAGGGGGTAGATTGTGCTATATTCGGTCATCCCAAACCTATGACCATGGCTTTATCTGTACTGGTTCTCATTGAGATGTTTAACGCTATGAACAG